AAGAGAATATTAACGACGGACAATGTTAAATTGGCTAACTCAGGTATTACATATAGAAGTGCCTCGTCAGCTCTTCGAAACACATCATGATCATAGCCATTATGAATGTGACTGCAAATGCCGCAAATGTCTAGGCAAATCAAACACACGCTCAGCCTTTCCGACCATTGGATTCGTAATACGCTTGAAACGAATACTTGCAACGTGCCACGCGTGCGCTATTTTCGTCGCCAACACAGCGGTTACTTGATCTGGTGGTTGAATCGCGGGTACAATTCCCAAGTAATAGCGAGTTTCATGCAAGGGCCACACCGAAGCGTCGTCGACGAACAAGCGCCGTGCAGAGTGTAAGCATCAGTGGCAATTCAAGCATTGTTGACATAACAATAAGCCAAGAGGCGTGCAACGAAACATCAACACTTTGCTTACCATAAGCAAAAACCTTAATCTCAGCCACTTTGGCGTTATATCATCTCGTCGTCTGAACTTCTCGACAGCACTTTCAAATCTGCGTAAATCCTTTGGTAACTTGGGGGAGGTGAAGAAGATGCAGCGAATCCGATACATATATCAATGATCTCATTAATTAATCATCACGTGAAAGGGCGACTCACGTGCAGCCAAAAAAAAACATTCACTTTGCAGCCTGGCAGGGGATTCGGGAAATCAGCCACAGCATATAGAATTTATTAATACAGGTATCTAGAATTACTTTAAGGTACCTATTACCATCACCTCCCCCAAGTTACCAAAAGATTTACGCAGATTTGAAAGTGCTGTCGAGAAGTTCAGACGATGAGATGATATAACGCCAAAGTGGCTGAGATTAAGGTTTTTGCTTATGGTAAGCAAAGTGTTGATGTTTCGTTGCACGCCTCTTGGCTTATTGTTATGTCAACAATGCTTGAATTGCCACTGATGCTTACACTCTGCACGGCGCTTGTTCGTCGACGACGCTTCGGTGTGGCCCTTGCATGAAACTCGCTATTACTTGGGAATTGTACCCGCGATTCAACCACCAGATCAAGTAACCGCTGTGTTGGCGACGAAAATAGCGCACGCGTGGCACGTTGCAAGTATTCGTTTCAAGCGTATTACGAATCCAATGGTCGGAAAGGCTGAGCGTGTGTTTGATTTGCCTAGACATTTGCGGCATTTGCAGTCACATTCATAATGGCTATGATCATGATGTGTTTCGAAGAGCTGACGAGGCACTTCTATATGTAATACCTGAGTCAGCCAATTCAACATCGTTTGTCGTTAATATTCTCTTTCGGCTTATATCAACTGACCTCTCAATTCCACTCCCTTCGTATCCGTCTTTCTCGATTGGGTTGGCGAGTGGAATCGATCTGATATTAGAGACGTTCAGAGGGAACCGAGAAACCTCAAGGCTGTACTTTCGCGATTTGGATAGCCTCTTACCCCATCTTCCGTGCCATTCAGCCGCCAGCGAACTCTTTGCAATACAGCTCATATCAATATGCTGAGATACGATATCCTCCAACGCACGCACATCTTTTTTCGCTGTCGCCAGTTCAAGATAGTCCAAAATACGTGGACCCTTTTCCTTCGCAAAGCTTCCCGCCCTTCGCTCCAAAAAGACCTTCAGGCGTTCACAATCAGACGAAGCAAGACACAGGTGGGTAAGCACAGGGGCCGGGCTGCTGGTTTTTGAATCAATATTGAGTGCATCGAGGAAACACCGCTCCAGGTTGATGAGAGCCAGGCGTCGAAGTCGCGAGCATTTCTGTAGCATGCGGTAAGCTAGAAAAACAGGAGCCTCATGCAATTTTTTCAGAGGATCGTTGTCTTGCCACAAGAGGTTGGAGACCAAAGGTGTCCCATCCGCCGAGTCTCGTTATTCCTAAAATCTCCTATTAGGCAGACGTACAAAGTTCTATTTTCAGAATGATGACCCACTTTACTTCCCCCGAACCTCTATAACTGGCAATCCAACGGGTCATCGAGAACAACGTGAAGATCTACCTTAATCTTCAGATGCGTGTCGAGATGTCTTGGAACATGCGCGTCCACTACTAACTTATCACCAAGGTGGTCACATCAGGTTCCTATACTATACGAAGACCGTACTGATACGTGAACTCACGCAGGTGACCCGATTAATCCGCGCAGGTGTCCGATTCGTGTCTGTAGAAGGTATAAGTAAGTCGGTGTAATCATGCACTCTAATCTCACCCTACACGTCGCTCATCACAGTAAGTCACCACCTCTCTGTTCTGAAGTACTTAACGTCTTGCAAATAGCGGAGTATCTGAATCGTGACTAGCAACAAGCCAGACCATTTCAATGGCGATTATCATTGCCGCATGCACCCTTGTCATTATCTTAGCCAGCGTCTGGATAGTGAAACAACGATACCAGGCCGCAAGACGGTTGCCGTTACCGCCTGGACCATCTGGACGTTGGCTATTAGGAAATGCGATGCCAAAGTCATCGTAAGTCATTTTCAAGGGACACCAACATGAGCTCTATCTAACCCCTCACGCAGTGTGCCGTTTCACTTCGCGAGATGGACAGAACAATACGGACCTGTGTTCTCGCTCAAACAAGGCCCTAGGATTTTCGTAATTATAGGACGTCATCAGGTCAGCATAAAACAATACATTGTCTGGTCAGACATGAAGTATATCACGTCACAGGCTGCAGTGGATATCATGGAAAAAGAGGGAGCAAATGTTGCCGACCGCCCACGCTCTGTTGCAGTGCACGAGACGTTGTCTGAAGGGTTCAGAGTGATCCTTGAGGGCGATACTGAGAGATGGCGCCGGATGCGCAGGTACGCATCGTGTCTCTACCAGGTGCGATCAGTGAGACTAAACGTAAAGCAGGATCTTGCATGCAAACTTGCAACCTAAGGTTGTGGAGACCCATGAGCCCATGCAGACCAGGCATGCGAAGAATGTGGTTCTAAATATCTTAAATGATCCAAAGAACCACCAGAGACATGCCATGAGGTACGAACACCAGCTCTCGGTCGCGGTACAGGTGGTAATCCGAGGATTTTAGTTATTCGGCTTCCGTGACCATGTCCATCACTTACGGAAAAATTACTCCGACTTCATATGCAGATCCTGAAGTCGTTGACATGAATAGGTTTTCTGCGCGTCTTGGTCAAGCTGTGAAGCCGGGAGCATATCTTGTGGATGCGTATCCAATCCTGCGTTTCGTACCAGGCTACCTGAGTCAGCTGAAGGCATGGAACAGAGAAGAAATGGTTTTCTATAACGAGCAGTTAGACGCAGTGCGAAGACAGATGGTTCGTGATTTTCTTGTGATGATAGATGTGCTCGCTCACCACTGTGAAGCGTGAGGGGACTGCAATGCCATCCTTTGCGAGGTTCATGTTAGAGCACCAGGAACAATACCAGATCGGAGATAAGGAACTGGCATTCCTTGGAGGAGTGATGTTTGGGGCCGGTACTGATGCTGTAAGTTCTTACATCGCATCGCGTCCTCACTCGACAACTGTTGTAGACTACGTCCGCAATCACAATTATGATGATGGCTGCTGCCACTCATACAGATGCGCAGGCTCGCGTACAAGAGGAACTCGATGACGTCGTGGGGCGTACGCAGCGTAGGTCATCCCTTTTCTTTATCCGTCTACCGACTGAGATAGCTCCTGATTAGTGCCGACGCTTGCTGATCAGGAAATGCTGCCGCAGGTTACCGCGTTCATGCTCGAGAGTCTCAGGTGGAGACCTGTCAGTTTTGGAGGTACGTTTTATTTCAGTTGTGATGACGCGATGTCGAACGACCACCTTGCACTGCAGGCTTTGCGCATCGCGCGAGTAAGGACATCATTTGGAAGAACTACCTCATTCCTGCAGGTGCGACTGTTATTGGCAACCATTGGTCAGTACGCAATCATTTTCGTCATCTCACCTTTGGGTCTGACGCTCGTGCTTCAGGGCTATCGCAAACGATCCTGAAGTCTTCCCCGAACCACACAGGTTTAATCCTCAGCGTTGGATTGACGATGCAGGTCGCGTGCACGATGATCTCCGGTTTTTCACTTTTGGCTTTGGCCGTCGGTGAGTAGTATCGTTCATCTCTCGACCGTTTCTTATGCCTTACTTGAAAATGTCAGAGTGTGTCCCGGTCAATATATCGCGAATCGGTCGATCTTCATCAATACGGCTCTCATTCTGTGGGCTTTCCGCCTTTCGGAGAATCCTGCAGCGAAGATTGACACGCTTGCATTCTCGGACACTTCGAACATACAAGCTGCTCCGTTTGAGATATGCTTTGAGAAGAGGATCGACGAGAACGTGATCAGGGAGCTATGCGCACCGGGCAAATAAAAGGTGTTTATTCTAGAAACTTGAATTTTTGTGCGAAGGAGTTCGTCTTGCGTTTTTTCGTTGTCTATCCGACAGGATTCCGACTCAAACTCATCGTTACACCCAACTTTGTATATCTGTAAACAGGCAGGATTGTAATCATGAACTGGCTCCACTTGGTGTTACCACGCATCAAGCATCGAGAGATACACTGCGATACCCTCCGAGTTGCGTGGCTGATCGTGAACCGTTTACTACAGACAGCCCCCGGACAAAATGAGGTATGGTACTGAAGTGTTATCCTTTCACCGTTCAATTACTCCGCCGCCCCACATGCGCTTTCTTTTTCTAGCTGGCTGAGACGAAGAGCAGACAACTTGACTTTGCTCTCAAAAAGTTTCATTGTGTGCTTCCCACTCTCGCGGTTCCGGTCACCGTCACGAGTTTTCGACGCGGCTGACCAATGCAGAGTACCCCGGAATGATAGTAGCAGCTGTGATAGAACGGGCCTCCAAGTGTATTTCAATGTCCGACGTGCCGTCTGTTAGCCACCAGCTTTGCCGCCGTTCTTGCCGTAGTGCGTGCCGGACTTTCTGCGCCGGAGGGGCGGTTTCAGGGATGTTGCGCGTCATTGTCACGTGTTTCTAAAATCAAAGCTTTCAAACCAAGTACTTTAAATTGGACAACGCGTACGCCGCGGTCAGGTTTGCCCTTTGACCGACACTACATTGAGCCTGAGTGCCGCTCGAGAGCCTCAATAGCATTAATGCGTGCGCCAACCCCGCAGTTGTCTCTCACATCTTCGATACCTTCGAGCAGGAAACATGCGTTCAAGAAAAGAAAACTCAGCCATGCTATTCAATCGTCCACGCGCCACGACACAGGGTCATGTCCCTCGAAGGCAGACCAATCACCAACACCAAATGCACATAAAGCCTCGACTTTGTCATGCTCTTCATGTCACCGTGTGTTATCTGCATCAATGAGGTCTGGTGCAGGTGCAGGCGCAACTTGTGCAATGTGGGTGGCCTCTAACTGTTCGTCTGTCAAATCTGATAAAATTTCAGGTGTGGATCAGCTATATGTGCTGTTTGTTCTCGCACATGCTCCTCGATGTTACGACAATCCTCGTTCCCGCCAACACCGGCATTAACACGTTGTCCCTCTCTGTCAGGATCGCCGTCGCCGTCACCTTCCGGATCTCCCAAACGAGCTGCATTAAGTCTAAACATCTCCACTATGAACTGTAGTATACTCCTCTCTCCATCTTCTGGCAAGCGGAAGAAGTCTTCAGAAAAGGATGACATTGATGTAGACTATCCTTCGAAATCTCGAGGCACACTTTTCGGGCTAGACGATGGAGCTCTCCTTGTTCCTGGATGTGGTCGACTTATCTGCAGAACATGCTGCGTGGAGAGTGCTCAGAAGTAAGCTTTTGATGACTAATGTTGCGTTGAACGACGATTGAGGTCTTTTCTAATCGCAGCGATGGGACTCTTTGTGTAGATTGTTACGCCGTTGTTGAAAACGTGTTGTAGAATGAGGAACAGTCTTATCATGAGGAGCCTCTCATAATTTCCGGAGGACCCTTCGATTATACCGACATCATCTGCATTGTCAATGCTTTGCTTGCTTGCTTTGTTACTCAGATTATTGCACGCCACAGTGATTCCTCATATTGTATACTATGCATTCATTACCCTATTTTTGCAAGCACTCATTCACTAGATGGAGAATGGAAACATTTTTGGCGAAGCTTTGTGATGTTGTATTGTTGAATTGCGAGGTTTTACTTCATTATCCTTGAAACGAGCACGGTAGATTGGATGAACGGGATGTTGGCATGCGGGGGAACGCAGAGTCCGTGCATCCGACGGACGCATTGTCCTAGCTGGAAGGGGCAGACAGCCTCGCGCCAAGGGTGCGTTATGCTATCATTGGTAACGTTGATTGCCGTGATGTACGAGATCACGATAGCGGTTCAGATGGCCCGAGAGCTGTTGCAGAGATGCTGCGCATGGGTATTCTGACAGCTCTTGAGGTGATGCTGCAAGAAGAGGCTCTGCAGGATCTCCGCAGATTCTGATGTCAGGCGAAAGAGTCCCTAATGGTACATTCCACCATATAGTTCCCGCGATAAACCCTTTCCCCTCAGGCTGATCGAGCCCACCCTACTAGTATTTGTAGCAGGCTTGCAACCGTGACATCGGACCAGCGTCGAGTTATCCTGTTGATGCGTAATGAACGACGCCAAGAGTTACACAAGAGCTTGGGGCATCAGCCGCAGCAGTACGTGTTACTAGATCCGAGCTCCGGCTCGTCGGGTTTGAAGTGGTCTTGACCAGGACCGTACCAAACCCGGACGGAAGAATGTTTAGTCGCATCATAGTATTATTCCTGTGACAAAGGAAGAATATTTGATATCGGTGAGCTGTGACAAGTAGTGACGCTTCAAAGTGCTGAGGCGGTCGATTGCCAGCTCGTCATCAGGATTCGGATAATTGGAGTATGCCTTCAGCTAGAGGCAGAAAATCTCCGCAAACCAGAAGTCCTATCCAATCTAGCAGCTTTGTATCTCACAGACAAGCTCCTCGTGCTGAAAGTCAACGTCTCCAAGGAGGAAGACATTGCCTCGGACGCGGCATTTTCCCACATGGGGGAGGTCTTCCGATAGCTAGATTGCGTGTTCAAAAATGAAGGCTACGGAATTCTTGCCGGAGAATTAGAAGGCACGCCTGATGATAAAGCGCATGAGATTTCTCAATCAAACTTCTGGGGCGCGACGAACATCAGTCGTGCTGCAGTCAAGTTTTTCAGAGAGTTGAACGAACCTGGAAAGGGGGAGGTGCTCTTCCAAATGGGCTCGACTACATTGACCCACTTCCCAGTTTGGGTTGTTATGCTGCGACACGAGTGGCATACTTCAAGCTTCAATGATTGATCCAATGCTAATTTTCAATTCTATGGCAGCAAACACGGTGGACCACTTGATATATAGAAAATATTGAGAATGACTCGACAGCTGTACAGCACTGGAGGACTTCTCAAATTGCCTCGCAAGAGAGCTGCTACCTTCGTGGAACATGATAAGGCACGTCGTTCTAACAATCAATAGATGCGTAGTACTCACAAAAAGCTAGATGTGCACCATGGAATCTCAGGCTGGCGGCTTCAAAATTGATGTAATAAAAAGTATGGAGCTGATACTGCAACATCCGGTATATGCCAACGAGTCCTCGGCGACTTCCGCGCGACGCCGCATCATTGACAGCACGAAATTCGAGAGCATGGTGTACAATGTCGGAGATATAGAACATTTCACACAGGCTGTCTACCAGATTGTTCGGACGGGGAAGATCCCCTAGCACTTGTTGATGGGTTTGGATGCCATCGAGATGCTAGCCACCAAGACCGACGGCTGAGGCGACGCCATGGTGAAGAGCTGTGAATAGCATTGCCTGGAGCGCCAGTTATAAGTATTATCCTATTTTGTTTTTGTTTTTCTGATTAGTGGGGCCAGATAATCAAACCATAAATGAATGAAGATAGTCGTTACGGAAATCCTTCTGTACAATGGAACTTGTCATATGCAGTGCTTTTCAGACGTAGCGATATCAATATAAGACATCCTGGTGCAAACAGAAGACAAAGGTGATGAACGTTTGAATGGTGATGATTAGATGTCGTTGTCGACAGTGAATAGCGATGCCCTGTGAAAACAGTCATGCAGTTGCAGCCTTCACAGGAGGCCAGTGATCAACCAAATGTACCGCTTCAACTTGCTCCTCATTAATAGGTTATAGTGCGTTAGCTGCTCGCCATGTCCTCTTGGCATGCTTCAGCAGGTAGATCGCAGAAGTGGGAGTCATGCCTTCCATGCGTTTGACAGCACCCTAACGCACGATCAATTAAGCATCGCACTACATCGTCAAAACAGAGCTCACCAAAGTTGTGGGCCTAACCCTCTGTAAGCGCTCCCTCACCTCCTCGCTCAATCCTTGCACTTTGGAGTAGTCCATACCAGGATCTAGTTGCAGCGATTCATCGGCATGGAATAATGCAAGGTCTGCTTGCTGTCGCGGGAGGTGAGGAGCGTAGGATGCTATTTCAAAGTCCATTGGCATGTTGAAATAAAGAACGGCAAGACTGTTCACCTTCGATGTCAATCCGCGCTCTAATATGAGGTTCCACAAAATCGAGACCTGGAACAGCTCCGGAACGTACAAGATCGGCTGCGGTCATACCTGGAATCTTCAGCATGTCGTACGCACTATTGCAGAATTCCAGCTGAAGCTACATCATAGAGACGCAACCACGAACCTCCTCATGATACCATCTCGTGAAATATCAAATCCGTATCTCCCCCAACCCTGAGCCTAGATGAATGAAATAATTCAGACAAGCTCGAGACGGCGCTCACCTGCGGACTGAGTACAACGCTTTTGAGGAGCTCAGTGCCTCGCTGTATAGCGTCTCGGTCACTCACAAAGGCTAGCCATCTGTCAGGAGAGATAATTCCAGCAGAATAACCTATATGAATAAACCATTAGATCGTAAAAAACATCAGAGTAGGGTCTGCGGGATGTACCAATCTCAGTTAACCGCATGTCAGCGTTGTCGCTCCTCAGTGACATCCGGTATTCCGAACGAGAAGTGAACATCCGGTCTCCATAAGTGACCAAAATTAGCTTTGCATCAGAAGTGGATAAATTAGAGGTCACTCATACACGGTTCCTCCGCTCCCTTTCCTATTAGATCATCTACCATCACTCCCAGGAATCCATCCGCTCGGGTGAGCGACATCGGGGGATGGCCTCGGGCTGAAAGACCTGCATTAATTCCAGCAAGGCAACCTTGCGCAGCGGCTTCTTCGTAACCTGTCGTGCCGTTTATCTGGCCAGCGAGGTAAAGACCCTATAACAAGTTGCCTCTTAGGCGACAATGACAAGGTACAGATACCGTAGTTACCTTGATGCGTTTTGTTTCCAATGTTGCTTGGGAGATCATGAGTTGATATGAGGTCGCATTCTTATGCAACTCACAGGTCAGCTCGCGGGGATCAACATGATCATATTCAACACCATATGCTGGCCGCAGCATCTTGACTTGTTCAAGACCCGGTATCGTTCTCATCATCGCTTCTTGAAGCTCCTCAGGCATAGAACATGACAACCCGTTGGGATATATCAGGTCTACACAGAAGATTAGGATGCGTAATTTGCATCCGATACTAAAGCACACCTGAATCATATCCTTCTGGCTCAAGCCAGATGGTATGACTGCCCTTGTGTCCAAAACGAGTAATTTTGGCTTCTAGTGAGGGGCAGTATCGCGGACCTATGATATCATGGTAAGAAGGGTAGACAATAGCTAAGGGCTAGAAACCTTTCTTGGTCTCCTGAATATGTACACTGAGATGCATACTCTCCTTGATGAGGTGATGCGTTTCCAGTGTGGTGTGAGTTTGAAAACACGGAATTTGGTTGTCCTATAACAAACTCGGTCCTCATATCTAGTTCATGGACGTCGAAAACTTACAGCATGGTCTACTTCCCGGTGAAGAAATGAAAACGGCTGAGGTTTTTCATCTCCATCTTGCCGTTCCATCTGGCTGAAGTCAATGCTGTGTTTATCTAGCCTTGCAGGCGTGCCGGTTTGCAGGCGTCCAAGTTTGAACCCTGCTGCATTGAGGGATGCAGAAAGACCTGTCGACGGTGCCTCCCCGATACGTCCCGCAGGTATACGACGCATCCCTAAAAAGTGAAAGACAATTCGAGATGAAGATGAAAACATAAGTCATGCAACATAATTTGACTTGAGCCACAACCTACCGATGTGAATTTCGCCGCCGAGAAAGGTCCCAGTACAGATAACGACCTTGGGACACCTGATTACATCTCCTGTCTCTGGAAAAATAGACTGGTGAGGACTTTTGTTATGCAGGCATAGCGCGCGCACCTAGTCGGACGCCCGTCACAGTCCCCCACGTTGACGAGGACGTGGATGTGCAGGGACTGTTGTCAAATACGAGATCAAATACGCTTGCAGCACGTACGTCCAGGTTCGTGTAGCTGAAAAGGATGTCTTGCATATGACGCTTGTAGATTTTACGGTCTACCTGCGCTCTAGGTCCCTGTTTTTTTTTTCAAATGTAATCAGACAGGGCGAGCATCATCCACCACCACTCACCCAAACAGCTGCACCTTTCGAAGCATTGAGCATGCGGAACTGTACTCCAGCTTTATCTGTACAACAAGTTTCAGGTATTTACAGTTATGCCCATCTGCAAGAGACGCACCCGCGATCCTTCCCATAAGGCCATCCAGAGCATCGACTTCCCTCACCAGTGTACCCTTTCCAACACCACCAATAGAAGGATTGCATGAGAGCTCGCCCACAGTATCAATCCGCTGGGTTAGCAGTACTGTTCGTGCGCCTGTACGGGCAGCACCTGCCGCCGCCTCGCAGCCCGCATGTCCTCCACCAATAATACACACTACAGAGAATGTAAGTTGAAACATACAACTTGATAACACGCTGCAAACCATCATATGTATCTTGAATTGAGTTCGAGTTTGAAGTCGCTGCGTGTAGGGCCCGAATACGTGCTTCTCGAGAAGTACGCGAGGGTAGTAGTCTAGTAGATGTGTCCGGTGTGCTGGTATACAGCGATTTCAACGAGCCTCCTGTGCTAAGAAGCCGTCGCCCCCGCAGTAGGGTAGCCCAGCTTCTTCTCGATAGCATTAATATGCACCTGGTGGACGGTTTGCTGGGCAAGTGAAAATTTAGGGATACAAAAAACAGTCTATACGTAGATGATATCGATCAGTCTTTGGAAGGCCTAGGGGTAGCTTGTTATGATATACAAATTCAAAGGCTCGAGACTGTGTTCGAGAGAAGCGTGACGCAAGTTCAAGTTGTCAAAGTTCTAAATTCCTATATCTCACGGGGGACTCCGATAACATATCCAAAACAAGTATCTCTCCGAAATTTCTAACTTAATACAACAGAGACGCGACTCGCGATGTGGGAACTTTAACCATCATGTATCACTTTCTCGCATAGAGGATTGATTGTCTCTCAAAGTCTCATAGAACTTCAATTATAGCCTGTAAAGTGAGCAGAGTGCAGTTGGAGCGGGGCGTCCCATCAGACCTGGGCAGGTCCGGGCGTAGTAGCAGGTGTCCTGGCGCGGTGGTAGGAGTCCTGGCTCGTACTCGGTAGTCCTTGCGCGTGTCGTAGTCTGTTCTCGATAGACAGAGCCGTAGCCTCCCGCTATAGAGGTCTGGCCTTGGTTCCCCTTGCAGTCCGTCCCATTACACAGTGCGTCGCGTTGAATCTATCTGTCTTATCGCAGGCATATATAAAGTCCGTATGCCATCCACATGACTGGAACAGGGCACCTGATACTCGTACAAGGTCTAGAACGATGCGATAGAGCGAACAATGGCAAGTTATAGGCCAATCGTACAGCCCTTTAGGACATAGATATAACGTACCTTCGAGGCTTCTAGTTCAAATCTTTAGGTCCCAAACTATAAACCGTGGTCGCCATGCTGAGTTATTCGGATCGCAGTTAATAATTAAGCATAAAAACAATCACCTTGGTCTCTGTTTTTCAAATAGTTCTTTGCCCTCGAATTCAACTGTTTAGCTTCCCCCTATCCACAATTCACGATGCAGCTCACTCTTCTCGCATCCCTTGCTGTCCTTTGAACCTCTGTTTTCGCTGCCCCTGTTGAGAGCCGCGATCAGGCTGATGTCATCACCTGTGCGTGCCCAAACTCGTTCTAAGCATACGAACTGACAATGTGTAGATGTGGAGAACGTCTTGAACGACGCCGATGTCACCGTCGCCAAGCGTGCGCGTGAGGACTTGGCTGACGTCATCGGTGGTATGGCATTTCCTGCAACTCACAATTCGCTGCTGAAGGTTTTGAACAACAATCTTGATGTGAACGGTCTGACCAAGCGCGAAGGCTTGGCTAACGTCATCGTTGGTATGGGATTTCCTGAAGTTCAAAGTTTGTCGCTGAAGGTTTTCCAGACATCGAGGACGATTTGGATAATCTCAATGTAAACGTTCTTACCAAGCGGCAGTATTTGATCGGCGTCGACGTCAGTAAGTACTATTCACGTGATTTGGTTTAACTTTCTTTACCCACAGCTGTTGACGATGTTCTCACCGATGCTGATATCAGCATCCTTTAGTCGGTTGATGTGGGATCTCTGGTCATGGATTTTTGCGTCTGCTTCATCACATTTGTAAGTATACCCACTACCTTTGTCCCGACCTACCATCAGTCAAATCTAAGTCACTCGTTATTAGTTTCTTGTATTGTCTACTCTAAACCTTTGCACCCTCCCACCACTCCCTCTCTCAGAAAACAAAACGTTTAACTCATTTTGATTCGTCAACCTTTTGCCCGTTGTACTGTGTTCGCTTCCTAAAGTTTCAAGACTCACTCGTAGCAATCTGATCGGTGCCCACCCGCCCATCTCAGCTCACCTTGAAACCCTTAGGTTCGTGCACTTGCATCGGGCCGAGAAGCCCTACGGACTTTTGCCCAAAACATCACTCCTTCGTTTAGATTAGCTCACATTGAAGTTTTCTTGTATCTAAGCAACCTCGAATTCACCTTTCACCTCCCACAAACACGCAGCGTCGAAAGGCATAGATGGTTGAGGTGGGATATCTCTGGTCGTGGATCTTTGCGTCTGCTTCATCACATACCCACTATGACGTACAATTATTCCAGACTTCGGCGATTGTTTGGCGGGATTCACACATTACATAGGTCAAGACGCGTGGCAGTGGATGCATTGATGAGGTCGAAGCTCCGCTGGAAATTACCGTGCGTTCACAATTTGTACTTGGACCAGCCTATGATAGCAATGCCCAAGGAGCCTGAACTTATTAACAAGTACTCCTACGATATATACAGTCCAAAATACTGCGTCTTGGATTACTGCAAAGAGGCCCGACAATGGCTCCCCAACAAGTCACAGGTAACGGTCTTACCGGCCGAAAAGTCGAAGTCAGATAAATTTCGTCATGATGATGATTCAAAAGTTGTTCCCAAGCACTTCCATCATGTCTACCAATGTTGTCGACGTTTCTGGCGAGAAAGATACCCCGAGACCCAATCAATCAATTCAAGCTACTATTCAAAAGTACCTCGTCGGACCCGAGGAACAGAGGCGAGCATACGGGGTTCTCGCCCGCCTACTATTACATGTTACCAGGACTCCGAGTTCGTGTTCTGGTCCCTGGATCCCAACTTGAAGCAGGGAGTTCATTATGAAGTTTGAAGACGAAACCCGGAAAAGATTATTAAAACTCGTAAGTCATTGTGACAGTGCATACCTACGCCTGTTTCTAAATTGCCAATTGAGCTTCGATCTAGACAGTCCCTTAGACTTTGACCCTCCATGGGAGTACGAGGGTGGAACAGGTTCCTGGTCAGTGAAATTGCTGATATTACAAGAATCTCGCACCATTTCGAGCAAGGCTTATTTCTACTATACACTCATAATGGTCTAGCGTGTATAGACTGGGTCAAGTTGGGACAAAGGGACACTACAAATAACGCTCATGTATGAGGCTATATAATTCAAAGAACGAGCAGTCTGCCTTCCTACACATAGTCGTACGGTCGTACAGGTGCGTTTAATCCGTTACTTTCTCGTTTGAAGCAAGGGACCACAATCCCAAACTCACTAGACTAGGGATAGAATATCAACTAGGACGTATCACCTGGTTGTAGATTGATGCAGTGCCGATGCGTTAACTTCTTGATGTAACTGGAGCGCGTGTTGCATCAGTTTTAATCAGTGGCGCACTATTCTTGCCGTATCTTGTTGCATCCTTATCGCATGATAGCCCCAAAATCTGGGCCAGTAGGGCGTGATTGGAGGCGCTGCAGAACGATGTTCGCAATCCGGGTGGGAGAGTGAGTTGGAGTTTCGACCTATTCTATACTTTATTTCTCAACTCCCCCGGACAGAATGTGACTTGTTAAGAAACCTTGGGTGAATTACATCCGCAGCTGGATCAGCAGGGCGGAGAGACTGCAGCCGCCCATTGAGCGCTCACCCCATAATGCTTATTTCAGCGACAACAAAGCTGGATGGTGGTGTATATCCAGCACGAACACGATCATTGTGCGTCACAATGTTCTCTGCCCTGGAATATGACTGTAGTCTCAAATAATCCATATCATTCTATCAGTTAGACGATGTCGGTGATGTGGTCTTCACTGCGTTGCAATGGCTGCTGCGAGCTTGTTCATCCGAGGCTCGTTACCAAAGATTTTTTCGGGCAATATCTTGAATGCACTGAACTGGATTTACTGTGATCGTAACTGTCATGCTGGATGGTGAGTTACTCAGCTGCAATAGTTCAATGATGTTCGCTGAAGCATAATGCAAATGTTTACGAGCGATCCAGAAACGATGGATCGAGTCATTCATGTCCTAAAATCGCGATGCGAAGTTGAAACTCAATTACCCTTGATTCAGAGTAGCTGGTGACCACGTGTCTATCGTGATCCCCGTTCTCGACTACAGATGATTTGCTCATTGACTCCCTCGCATGTTATGGTAAACGTCATCCTTTGAACACATCTTTCTCACATCAATGTGATCGTCTTAAATATGTTATTGGCGAGCCGCATTTCCCTCCACGTTGAAGAAGGCGAACGTTCTACCGATTGTCGCGGGCCCATCAGGCATGGTTCCTTTGCTTCTCGTAAAGTAATACCTGACCAACAATGCGTGGCGTCACTGACGATCTTGGGAAAAAAGTCTTGAGCTTAGCTTGTGTGACCTGCTTGATCGGTTGTCACAGCTTCACCGGTGCGCCCAGTCTGTTCGCCGGTCATTTCTGATCTACACATCCTGCGCAGCCGCGATTGCGACAGTGATTTATCGCCGATCATGTGGCTTTAACATCTAATGATTACACGCTTTTCAAGGGACTCATCTAAGGGCAACCATGAGGTGAGCATGATGCCATGATGGATTCGGGTATGACGGTCACCAGATGGTGCAATTTTTCATTGCAAAGCTGACATGCTACTTTATGATACCTTGAATGCGACTAGTCCATGTGTATCAGGACCCACACGTCCCTCTATTTTAGGTGATGATCCAGTAACCTGAGTTGTGATAGACCCACATGGTGAAAGCGGGCGCTCCAGTCTTTGGTTGTGACATAAGCATCATTCTGTCATCGGACACATTATACGTATATGTCCGAACGTTGTACATCATGGTGGGTGATGGGCCGGGTCATCCTCATCTATACACGTGTCCCCGTATGTTCTGATGGAAGTCATGGATGTACTTGTCCCAGGTATACGGTAGACTAAGGTGAGGCTTATCAATGGGAATCTACATCCTGAAACAGTCCTGAAACATGATGGGAACACGGGGAGGCGCCGCCGACGCCAGATATGTCTAGATTATCTATGGTCCATATACCAGTACAAATGATCCAGTGGGTATGAGATATGCAATAATGACAATATAAGTGAATATTCCCTTAAAAGAGCCCTATAAGTGCATTTGCCAGCAAATAGTAATTACATCAGTGCGGGTGCGCGTCCTTCATTCTTATCCATAAGCCGCCCTATGAGAGAGGTGAGATGATACAGCTAAGACACAAAGCGGAGATAAGATAACGCACTTTGATGAAAAGCGTCATCGTAGCGTCAGGATGAATCATCTCCACCCTTTGTCTGCCGCGACCTAACTTCCACTCCGCGGGTGGCAAGGAGGAAGGGGGTTGTGCATCCGTTGCGAGTGTGAAAGTGTCGAACCGCTGAAGCAGTCGCACAAGGAAGAATGATGCCTCATTGTATGCATAGTTCTGACCAATGCACTAAAAGAGTCAAAGGGCCAAGGGGTCAGGATTTCTTATCAAATTGTAATCACGAAAGGAAATCCTACAATGCGTGGTCCTGCGCTAAATGGAGTGAACATCATCGGATTCGAGGTGAACCGGGCCAATCTCTGAGGATCAATCCATCGCTCAGGATCAAACTCGTCTGCATCAGGCCCCCAAAGTTCTTTGTTGCGCTGCGTCAACAATGACGAGTACCAGATTGTCGTAGACTTCGGTAAATATAACGGTTGCCGGGATTCGGTGAGATAAGTACGATCTGGCAGAGGGAGTGTGCAAGGCTGAGGTCTGGTCTGTCGCGAATTCAACGGGACAGGTGGGTACAGGCGGAGAGTTTCGTCAAGAACCGCTTTGACTGACGAAAGAAGGTCGTTGAGCAAAATTCCACCATATGAAATATAAACTCACCATATTTGAGTTTACGAATTCCTTCGTGGGTAGGAGGATTGTTGCCACACACGTCGAGTACCTCTTGCCGCATCTTGGCCGCGACGCTCGGATATAAGGCCATGAAATATGTCACGTAGGTCAAAAGGCACGCAGTCTGTCAAGCGGAGCTGTCTCATCAGAGAACGAGCGCTGAAGGAAGAAGAGGTACACACAGTATCTCTAGCAGCCAATAGAACATTGAGCAACTGATCACGAATCATTCCAGCGTCTATAGATTGTCGGCGAATGAGGCGCAGAATTCGGGCAAGGAACGAGAAAAACACAGACCTTCGGTACTATCAGCTAGGTGTTCTAAGAAAGTCTTTTCTTCCATGGTATTCCGTATACCACTTTTGTGGGCTAACGCCTTACGATCCAACGTTTGCTTTACTAATGGATCTAGCCATCGTCTGATGACATCCACGTGCGGGGCAGTTTTGTCATCGAAAAGCTCAAAAATGGGCCAAATGAAACCAGTACGACCTCTCATGGTGATTATGCGTTGGACTGCTTCAAAAGCTTGAGCAAATGTTCCCCACGAGTCATCTGTAGTAGCTCCTCTATCACTCTGGAAGCCTGAAGTAGGAACAGGAAGCTTCTTGGACAAGGTATCCAAGTTATGCCCAAAAAGAAAGTCCGAGGCAGCGTCGATGGTGAACCTAGCAAAAAGGTCTTGGACATTACAAGGCTCGTTGCGTGAGGCAAGATTTGATAACACAGCCATCGTGCGGTCCGTGTATTTTTCAAATAACTCGAAATCAGATATGCGATTGCGGGTGAAAAAGGGTCGTGCGAGTGAACGGTGCTATAACGATAGCCTATCAGCCATCAAACAGTGTCAGGTGGTCAGCTTGTCGTACGTATTTCCATTTCTGCATAGTTGTGAGCAAATTGTGACCCAGGTAACAAAGCAGGTCTCGTTTCTCACCTCGTCATCCCGATTGAATATTCCATCGCCTAGAAAGTTTTCTCTGAAATAGAGTTAGGATTGTTTTTTTCGGGTAGTTAGTTGCTTACAATCGCTCTCGTTGTGCAGTGCCTCTCCAGAAATGACCAAATCCTGTTGCTAGCACGCATTTGGAATGTTCTTGATCCATGGTAATGATCTTTCGATAGTGAGCGCGCTCGTCAGTTTGCCAGTAGAGATGATATCTAGACAAGACCACCTACATTGTCAGACCAAAGAAAGCGAGTGTTGAGTGTTGTGCACTGATACTCTTCGAACAGATCAAGGAACGGCTCGCAGATGTACTGAGAGGCGAGCCCTTTCTTGAGTCTGAGCATCACATCAATGTTCCCTGGCCATTTCCCGACAACTCTGGGAATCGGTCTAGCACCAAGTTGCCGTGCTTCCCGTGCTTGAACAAAATCAGAATATTGTACTCTGATAAATACCGCGAGCGGGATGGCCAGGAGATGGGCGGGTATCGACCACCATCCAAGCCGAAGGCTTAACGTCCTACAACACAATGACACAAGCACGGGGGGTACAACTAGTGCTTGAAGGATGTCCTTCAAGATACGAAAGCGATAGTTGGCGTGGCCGGCGAGAGTCATATGTGTAGTGCTCGATAGGGACAGATGAGGGGGTGAAATGAAACTACAGATGCATGATTCTAACTTGAGCCCTTTATGTGCATTTGGGAAGTTGTTCCTTCTCGCCAACACCTGAGTAAATGAAGGAAAGATTATCGACCTGAGTTCGCGACATGATTAACTCCACGCCGATGCGCATGTGAAATTTCTCGATCCGCACCGCGTAATGGAACCGTAGTATGGTCGTAATAATAGGCTGAGCCTTGTCGGTGAACTTCTGACAGCGGCTACAGAGGACCCCGGGTCCCTCGCACCCACATTTCTTCTCACGGTTTAGGTTGTAAGGCTAGCAACTCAGCTGAATCTCATAGCGATGGCCCGGCGCCGGAAATTTTGCGCAAAGCTTATACTATAGTTACGAAAACTCAGTGTGCTTGGTAAGGATATGCCTTGACGTGTTATGATGACAAGAGATGTATCATATGAGATACGGAAACAGGACGGAGGCATAATCTGCGACACGTTCCTTCAGTAAGGAGGAGTACGGCTCTCCGATCTGGCACAAGATGGTCAGGTTCGTGAGATCCCAAGGACCGGTTCAACATCAAAGAAAGCGCCCACTGGCACAACTATGAAACGAGAGCGACTCAGCGGGCCCCGGACCCGGGATAACGTCAATCCTTGGATCAGATCCGGATGAGTAGGAAGCTGCACACCATAGATTCAGATCCAAGCAGGCACAATCAACTGACGACCTACCGCAGCTCACTTCCGATCCTCGTGTAAATTGACGATGTCGTAGTATAAATTATAAATTAGGGTGCTTTGATGAACTTGCTGCGGGCGGAAGTAGAATCAGAAGGCTGAGCACTGTTTCAAAAGCTAACCAACTTTATTCGAGATGTCAACCAAAACACTGTAACACAACGTCTTGCAAGCATCTGATCATCCAGATACTACAGTCAAATTGTGAGATTTACGAAGTTAATAATACACTAGCAACCAAGACTACTATGAGGACATACCTATAATGCCACGGACTCGGAGATGTCGGCCGTCCTTCAAGATTTTTACCAGCAATGAGAACACATGCCATTTAGTTGAACTACCGCTGAGTGATTCGATCCGATGATGATCTCTTCTATCTCAGGATAGCTTAGGCGGGCGCTCTAGAGTTCGGAGGCGAGCGGACGAGCCAGGAGAGAGCTAGAGCGCTCCCTGTTGTGGCATATACTATCAAGTCATTCCAAGCTTAAGAAGCGATGAGAATTGTACTCTCCAAGAGTTATAAATTCGCTCACACAACGGTAGTCCTGAGCGTCAGCGTCAACAGGTGCGCATGGGGGTCGGAACAAAAGTCGGAGCTTGCAGTTGCCATATAAGGTAAGTGCTCGGCAGTACTGAGTGTTGCCCACGTGCTAGTACTCGACTAGTACTACGAGATTGTCCATCATCATGTCGGAATCTCGCTGGATCCCGCTCGAAAGCAACCCAGATGTAAGCTCTCCATGCCTCTGATATTCTCATTCTGATGCGATAACGAGCAGGTCTTTAACAGTGTAAGACAAAAACTCCTAGCGGTGCAAAATGTCTTACATGGTATGATGCTCTCGTATAGTGGGCCATAAACGCTGGACTAGCATCCAAGGCGCAATTCGAGGACATATATGGTCTTGATCCAGAAGTTGGTCTTCTCAGTTCACTCATGCTCATAGGTTCACGACGATACAGCTTCTAGGAATGGTATCGGAAGGTGTAAAGGCCGTTACACTACTCTTTCCCTGTTCAGGGACCATTGCGACCAAGCGCAAAGAGGAAGATGAAAAGATTGCCGCTCAAGGGCAGTATCCGATCGATCCCACTATTTTTTGGATGAAGCAGACGGTATGTTCGATCAACCGAGTGTCTTCCGTACTCATACTACTAATGAAGGCTAGATTGTAAACGCTTGCGGAACCATGGGCCTTCTGCATGCTTTAATAAACGTAACCCACGACCTTTCCCTTCTATCTTTTTCTCATGCTAGCACTACTCCAGTCAGGTGTCGCTTTCGCTGATGAAAGTCCATTGGCTAGATTTATTGAAGAATGCAAAGGTAAAAAAATATTCTTATCAAGCACCCGAAATATATTAATTGCGGAAATAGACAAAACACCATTGGAACGTGTCAAAGTTCTAGAGGAGACCTCCCTGTTCGAACAGATCCATACCTCTGCAGCCGTCTCAGGACAAACTACGGTGCCTGAAGATCTGGATACATATCTCCATTTTACTTGTTTCGTTAAGGCCCCCGATGTCACTGCGAGGGGCACAGAAACCCAAGTCCGTGGGTGGCGCGTCATAGAGTTGGACGGAGGTCGCAATGGTCCGATTGATAGGGGCGAATGCACCAACTTGCTTCAGGTACGGCTTTGATCACTTCTATGATACTAGGTTGATCTCAGCTCTGCATCTGCAGGACGTAGCCAAATTCGTCAAAGAACATTATATCAAGGAAAGCAAGAGTGTCAACTTCAGCATGATGGCGTTATGTTCTGGACAAAACTAGATTAATAAATACGGACAAAACCAATGTGTACAACAGCAGAGCGACTACGTATTCAATTATTTCAGCTGGCGCTTTTAGATCAGAAGTTAAACGTTAAATAATGAAACAGTTGGTAATTGAGGCGGTATCAACCCGAGACCGAAGTTCATGACAGTCACGAGAAAAGTGCTTCCGATATGGCAGCAGGAATTTCCTTCTGCATTTTGGCGATGAATCTAGCAACGTGGAACGCATTGTCAAAGTCAGTGATATCTTGACCATTTCCAATCTCCGCAATCTGCGCCGCAGATGCTACGAACTGTGTGATTAAATATCAAGGCCGTGTATTGACGTGAATGAAGACCATGCGTACTCGCAGCATTGGGCTTTCAGGAAATTTGTCTCCCTTGGCTCTGTTCTTCTCCCCTCGTAGGATGTCTCTGACTAAAAGTGGTTCTGCGGTTAATGGCCTCGCTAATCCTATAACTGCATCACACCAACCGATGAGTGAAAATCGCAACCGGCAAAAGGACACTCACTATCCGCGGCTCCTCGCAAGACAGCATCGGCCATGCCCTGCGACGTCTGAAACCCACCCGTGGCGACTACTTTTGAGAGGTCTAGATTGGATCTGAGAATCTCTGCATATTCAACGAAATAGCCTTCTCGGGTTTCAACAGTATACGGCTTATAATTGCTCGGCATCAACTTTAGATTGAGCATCAAGCGTAAAATGTTACCTTGTCCCGAGAGCTGCGGATATTTTGTTCGTACGCGCCCCCACTGACTTCAATGAAGTCCACTCCTGCGATTTCGAGCAGTTTGGCAACCATGATCGATTCCTCGATACATAAACCTTGAGGGGCTGAATCCTGTGCGTTGAGCTTGACCGAGATGATGAAAGATGGGCTCTGGACTGCTTGTCTGATTGCAGCGATTGTCTCGAGAATAATCTGAGCTCTATTTACGAGCGATCCACCATATTCATCGGTTCGCATATTTGTCGTCGTGGTTAAAAATTGTGACAGAAGGTAACCGTGAGCGACGTGGAGCTGAGTCTGGTTAACCGATATGCCGGCCAGATATTAGTGAAATAATATTACCTGGACGCCATCAAACCCAGCCCTGTGCAGGACGAAGGCTGCATATGCAAAGCGATTTACAATGTCCTTGATGCCATCTTTTGTTAGAGGCATAGGTTGCCCGAAGAGAACGCCTCCAATCGAGGGTTGCTCGACGTCAGATGGTGCCTCTGGATATGGCTGTATGTTAATGGAAACCTGACGCCCTGGATGGCTAAGTTGTCCGATGACCAAGCTCCCTTGTGACTTGGCAGCTCGCGCCACCTCCGTCCACTCCCGGAGATAAACCGAGGGGAGGTCTTTGTCGATGATAGTATTCCCTACACGGACATCAACCTCGCAATTATTTTCGCAGAAAATTATGACTACCTGTAGCTTCGAGATGATCTTTTTTTATTTGTATGTTACCAGTGACAATGATTCCTTAGAGAAATTATGATTAGAGCGTCATCAAGGATGGGATGGGAATCACCGATATCCCCCTTTGCCCAGGTTTCGTACAGTCGTACAAGTTCCTCCGTTGGTTGTCCCCGACCACAGGGATCAAAATTCGAGAAAGTGGCCAAGCGTTCTGACATTGCGCTCTTCAAGAACCTATTTTTGGCTGTTCGTCCGCTAAACGGGAAAGTAACAGGCTGCCTAAGTAGCTCAACCGGATTAAACATTGAAACCATGTATCGGGATGTCGTTGTTTGTTCGGGCTGTTGGTCAAATGGATATTGAACAAATGGATGAAACGGTTGCATAGTTGAATCCAATATATTGCAATCCAAATTTCACAATATGATTTTCACGGGGGTGATTTTGGGCTGAGGAATCAGTCAGCCAAGAATATCACGCAGGGCTGGATATGAATTAGGCTGAGCAAACATATGTATGATAAACACGTTTCTGATGTGAGAGAAGGCGAGGCCTACTATATATTCCGAAGACCCGGGAATTGACAGACGGCCAGGAAAATCGACCGAAGATATTAGCAAGCCTTGACGTAACCAAGAAAGGTTTATCTAGTAGTGGTGAGTCTGTGCTGGCAAGTCAGCACACCTATTGGTGACTTTGCTGGCGTTAGCAGCTTGTGTGGACAGCGTAAATAACTCACTTATTCAAATGTGGCTTCTGGGAATGGTGTGTTAAAATTGAAGGGTGTGCACGAGTTTTCCTGTGGCAGGTTAGGCTGTGGAACATATGCTGGTTGTCGTGCTAACAATGTCAATGCAAATGACGATCTCGAGTGCGCAATCTCTGAGATCTCAGAATTCAGTGCGTGGTCGTCGTTATCGAGTTGCAAGTGACGACAGCATCATGTATTACTGATTTAGGGGCGCTCGCCATCAAATGAGAGGACGGTGATTGTCACCCTCCGATATCTATATATACATAAAACTCGATTAAAGACTCACGTTCTGGGGCCACCCTGCACCATAACAGGTTAAACTGGTTGCGGAATCAGGCCTTCAGGGCTCAAAGCGACTGAAATTGGGAGTCGGAGGATGATTAGGCCCGACAGAATCCCTGACGTATTGGTTCGAACTACTACTGATCAGTTGACGAAGCGAGGTCAAGTTCCGTCATCAGTTGACTTGTCAACGTGTCAACCAGTGTGGAGCTGGTACAGTTGCTCGCCGCAAGAGCTCTACGCCGCAACGCAGTTGTTAGGGTCACCGAACCTATACGATACCCAAAGATTATCATTTCTCATCCTGGTGTTGCCAATGAACAGTCTGGTACTACTTAACTCACGATCAAGTTATTGGGCGCCGCCGCAGCCGCGGTATCACAGCTCACGAAGTTTAGGGTTTGGAGCATGTGGTGAAAAGCGGAGCAGTGTGGATTTTGGCAGTCCATTGTCCCAGCATTCCCGGGTCATGACCTCAGCGCTAAGCATTTCCCGGCGTCAAGTTCTTCAGACTCCTCATATGCTGGCTCAATCAATGCTGGCTGAAGAACAGAATAAATGTCATAAATGTAACCTTGGAGACTCGGAAGCAATCGGGAATTGCCAGATTATGTTGGTATTGGGTCGAATCTTATCTCTAAGAGTCAAACGTTAATCATGCTTTCTTCATCATCTTCCAAACCACCGACGCAGCAACTGCTACAGTCTGCAGACCTCATTTCACAGGGCGCTGAAGCTGCAAGTCCTTCTTCTAACTAATTTCTGCTTCGCCCCGTGCTCACTCGAACCCCGATCACCCTTCTAATGCTCCACGCAGAAAGTTTATAAAGCATATTTGCGTCAAGTTTCGACATCGTGTCTTGGCCCTGATCACGGTGCAGTTCTTGAGGCGCTGGAGCCGGTTCTCTTGAAGTACCGGTTCCACAAGCACTACCGCCACCCGTCACTTGATGCATCACTCACCCGGCAACGCATAGCCGGTGAAGCCCGCGCGTTGATGAGATGTATGCGGTATGTCCAATTTTTGCTGTCCCGTGGAGAAAAATTGGGATGAGCCGACGTGGGACCTCGGCAGGTCCGGTGTTGCTGTACCCGGAATCAGGATGGTGGATGTGAACGAAGGTGTACTGGGTATTGAGTGGATAGATGGCAAGAGCGTGCGTCAACTTCTACCCGGTGGAGCTGAACTCGAGGACATCAGCGAGCTTGAAGAGGCGGATGAGATGGATGAAATCCATGAAAATGGCGCTGCAGACCCAATCGCTGATTATGGAGTTTCTCGAGGTAGGACTGTTCGTACGCTGATTAGACTATACTCAAGTTCCGTAGATGCCCTGATGGTTATGATCGGTGTTGAGATCGCAAAGATGCACTTGGCCGACATAATCCATGGTGATCTGACGACCTCGAACATGATGTTGAGGAAACAAACAAATGATTTGGTACATGACAGGACTAGAAGATATGGTCGTCTAATTGATGTCATTTTCAGGTTCTTATAGATTTTGGACTCGCCTATCATTCTACTCTCGTAGAGGATAAGGCTGTAGACCTTTATGTCCTGGAACGCGCCTTTGCCTCAACTCATCCTGACTCAGAGCCACTGTTTGCAGGTGTGTTGAGCGCGTATGAGAAGCGCATGCGCAAACATTGGCTGCCAATTAAAAAGAGATTAGATGATGGTAAGCTGAGCTTAATGCATGACCAGATCCGTGTGCTCACTCTTTGGCTAGTGCGACTGAGAGGCAGGAAACGGAGTATGGTTGGTTAGCATACATACTGGACTGTCTCAAAAATGTGTGGGTGAGTTCAAATAAAGGCTAATAGCTCTTTGATGTGCTAGATCGGACCAAGGTGATTATTCACCAGTCCTGTCAGGTTTGATTCGTGTTTGAACACGAGCACGTCTTTTGGGGCTGAATACGACCTCTCGACATTCAGAACCTTCTCTGATTTCTGTGTTTACAGCAGTCATGGTTACATTTCAATAATTAGGTGCAAGTACATTGTCCGGCATCTTCTCATCACATCCGCCCTGCCATGTGTTTACAGTCAGAATGTTGGTGGGTCTCAACCCTCAACATCCCGACCGTTTTCCCGCCATCTTCCGACGCAAATTGAAAGTGCTCTTTTCTCATCCTCGATCCCAATGCCGGGCGTTTTCGCAAACGTGCCATGGCTTTTACTTCGAGAGCCTCGTCCTGGGTGAGTATTGAGTCGATGTGTATGAGGTCGGATGGGTGCATTATACTCTCTCTGGGGCTTGTCAGGGATGATTGACCATGTCCACCGTGACTGCTCTCTGAGTAGGACGACAGACGATCTTGAAGAAGCTCATCTGCGACCATCTTCAACCTTACGAGGGCTGCCAACTTCTGCGCATCTGATTGAGGGGTCAGAGGTGCCGTGTCTCCATTCTCTATGAGCTCATCGCTATCTGACGTTGAAGGCTCATCAATGGTGGCATACTCAGTCACGCTAGATCTGGAATCATTCATCGCTATAGCCATTAGACTATCAGAACGCTGATGAGTGTTTCTTGAGCACGAGGGTTACGAGAGCGCCGACAGGAGTATCTTGGTGGCCTGTGGAGCTTTTGAGAAGAGTGGTGTTTAGCGCACATTACATGATGCAATCGACGGGAATATTGGGAGTGGTGACGTACCCAGTCCTTCACATCCGGACGATGGCCATGTGCGCGCAGTAACCTTCGATTCGAGGATCTCGTGCACTCATCAGTCACTAGTCAGCGCTCGGCATGCCTGTCAATGGTCTTCTATGTATAAGTTTCAGGTAGATCAAATTTCAGTAAGTAGTTTGTCTATAATTATGTGACATACCAAGTCACTGACACTTGTGATAGGCTCTGCCATCGCGGAATGTGGCTCCGCGGTCTGTTACAACTTGAATGAACTGCTCGAAGTAGATGTTGTCTAATATTCTAATTCTAATGTTCAACTGTGAGTTTGATGCTATCCTACCTTTTCAGCATGACAGATTTGGAAGTACGTATTTTTTTGCCAACTTGAACTTAGCTGGAAATAACTAGGGTCGAGATTTGTCCATTAGAAATTTATAGTATGATGCGAAACAACCTGGAACAACGTTCCAGAGTCTCGGGTTTTGTTCCATAGAACATTCATATTCTAATCTAGCCTGCAGGCACCATGCTAAAATCTCGTCAGACCGAAGATCCGAATAACGCTTTCTGTGTTCTTCCTAGTTCTTCATCCCCTCCAGTTTTATTGTCACGTCGCTCCTTTTGAAATTCTACTCCTTAGCATCCAATATTCCGCTTACCGTCTTTTTGGTGGGTTCGCACCCATCCTGGCAACTCCATTAGCAAGTAAGCAGTTCTCGGTCAACGTGTTATTATAGTTGACGAATTTCTGCTTCGAATGAGCAAATAGCGGCCACCATCGGTAATGATGTCGTATCAATTGTTCGGTTAATATTACGACCGTTCACGAAATTCTTGTTCTGAAACAATAGCTTATGGCCTCAGAGATAGGGCATTATCTTATTTTTGACTGCACGGTGACTGTTGCCCGTCCTACTAGTACAAGGGCCGACAACGGTGATTCGTGACCTGGAGGAGAAAGGCGGGGCATGCCACCCTCGGCCCATCCGCCGAGGACTTCCTGCCGTTAACCTCCATGAAGTTGAGCCTCGATGGCTAAGTCGATCTCGTCGGGGAGAAGCCTCGCTCATCCATGTGGGCTTTTTATGACATCCCCGTTTTTCTCCCTTCCCACCATGGCGTCTGGTAAAGCCTTTTAGAAAAATTAGTCCTCTATGAGCGCTCTAGCGTTCTTCCATTGCAATGGCACATTAAAAGAATCCGATTATATACGTCGAATTCAATCGTTGGGCACGTTCCGGTACGTAATAATAGTATGATATCGTGCATAAAGGATAAACGGCAGAGAACCATTATGGCATGGGATTCACATATTTTGAACTCGCTGTTTGTATCATTTCGACTTTGCCGTTTTAAGAAGCAAATTTTATTATATACGCGCCTGCCGGATACTGGTCGTATAGTCCAATAGCGCGTATGAGAACGACCAATGACGATTGAAATCCGTATGAATACGTAATGTGTGAATGCTGCCAAATAATCGCCGAAGTCTGGAATAAGTGTACGTCATAGTAAGTATACTTACAAATGTGATGAAGCAGACGCAAAGAGCCATGACCAGAAATCCCACATCAATCGACTAAAGGATGTTGATATCGGCATCGTTGAGAACATCGTCAACAACTGTGGGCTTGCTTTAAAGACAGTTAAAGCAAATCACGTGAATAGTACTTACTGACGTCGACGCCGATCAAAGCATCATCTCGTTTGGTAAGAACGTTCACATCGAGATTATCCAAATCATCCTGGACATCTGGAAAACCTTTAGCGGCAAGCTGTGAACTTCAAGAAATGCCATACCGACGATGACTTCAGCCAAAGTCTCCCGCTTGGTGAGAACGTTCACATCAAGATTATCCAAATCATCCTGGACGTCTGGAAAACATTCAGCGGCAAACTGTGATCTTCAGGAAATGCCATACCAACGATGACTTCAGCCAGAGTCTCCCGCTTGGTAAGAACGTTCACATCAAGGTTATTCAAATCATTCGTAACAGCTAGAAAACCTTTAGCGGCGAACTGTGAGTTGCAGGAAGTACCATACCAACGATGACGTCAGCCAAGTCTTCACGCTTGGTCAGGACGTTCACATCAAGATTGTTCAAATCATTGGTAACAGCTAGAAAACCTTCAGCAGCGAACTGCGAGCTGCGGGAAGTGTCATACCAACAATGACGTCAGCCAAGTCCTCACGCTTGGCGACGGTGATATCTGCGTCGTTTAAGACGTTCTCCACATCTACCCATTGTCAGTTCGTATGCTTAGGACAAGTTTAGGCACGCACAAGCGAGGACTTCAACCAAGCCATCCCGCTTGGCGACGGTGATTTCTGCGTCGTTCAAGACGTTCTCCACATCTACACATTGTCAGTTCGTATGCTTAGAACTGAGTTTGGACACACACAGGCGATGACATCAATCTCTGAATCACCGCGGCGTTCAGCAGGGGCAGCGAAAGCAGAGGAGCAAAGGACAGCAAGGGATGCGAGAAGAGTGAGCTGCATCGTGAATTGTGGATAGGGGGAAGCTAAACAGTCGGAATCGAGGGCAAAGAACGATTTGAAAAACAGAGACCAAGGTGATTGTTTTTATACCTAATTATTAACTGCGATCCGAATAACTCAGCATGGCGACCACGGTTTATAGTTTGGGACCTAAAGATTTGAACTAGAAGCCTCGAAGGTACGTTATATCTATGTCCGAAAAAGCTATACGATTGGCGTAATTTCGCCTATAACTTGCCATTGTTCACTCTATAGCATCATTCTAGACCTTGTACTACTTACATGCGCCATAGAGAGACTGAATGGATCCAACGATTTGCTTCTGGACTCGTCTCAATTGCTGCTGATACCACCTGTTCGCATCGTGGATCATTCCGGACTCTGAAATCCAAACGTCACGTCAATATTAATCACACTCATCAGCTTCGAAACGGTCTCCCCGAGGTATTCGCCGACGCGTCACGTAGTATGTGCATCACCCAGCTCTATAACGTGCAAGGGTCCACTCGCTCGTTCCCACAACATTCAACCTCGAAAGCACATCCACTTCTCGCTCTACTCATTTCTTGGTTGTTGCCCGTTGGTTGGGGCGAAGCCCTGTGCTAGACACTATCCACACTAACTTGAAGTATCTTACTAGCTCCGCATGAGTCTTGCCCTTGTTGTGGCATACTATACAGTGGTTCAAGCTTGCGCGAGAACCGGCTTGACGCGTACGGTTAAACTCTTGGTATGATAACGGTCATTGGTGAGTTTCCTTCGGTCATCCTACTCGCTTCCTGGCCTGGACCATCGTTTATTAGCTCCTTACGTGATTCGAAGCTCGGTGCCTTGGAGTTAGGGACTAGTGCGTGTTTCTCCCGGTCTATTCCTTTTCAGCCTTTGCCGCATATCTACACACTCCTCTGCTACTACGTATGGGACATTGTGCTACGCTCAATCTCTGGCCTTCCCGTTTCCCTATTACTTTTCTTGCCCCCATAAGTCTTCTCCTTGACTTTCTTTAGCTCAGTTTACCACTGCTCCGATCTCCAGCACACTTCATTTTGTCTCAGGCTCTCAGCCCGCATGCCGCAACTTGAGTTCGCTTTTTATTAGGTCATATCCCTTGTTACATATCCCCTTTTGCACATGCTTATCATTTTGTTCCTACCATCGTGAGTTGCCCGCTTGTTATTGTTGTCGCAGACCGTGTCCGCATCTATCGCTGTCATAAGCTATGCATTTATCGTCATGGTCCTGAACTTTGCGATCATTGTCACTTGTCGACGATGGGTTGTCTGTCCGTTATCACCACTGCGAACTGCATATTCATCCTTCACCATCGTGAGCTGCACTCACGGCATCGCATCCCAGGTTGTGTGCTCATTTTCCACAGCCATAATCTGTATGCTCGATTTCCCATCTCGGTGCTAGTCTCTTCAGCCCGTTTCGTGACTTCAGTCGGGATTCTCGCTCATTAAGTGACATGGGTCATTGAAACTGGTACTCATTCTCCACCGCGCATGTTTGCGTCATCTTTCATGCATTGTGGGCAGTCCTTCTTAACTGTGGTCCTAGCGACTGTCACATACAGCACTGTCGTCGTCAGTAGATTAATCGTGGCCTTCCCATGGGCTCTCTTCGCGCATCGCACTGGTCAATCACTTGTCGCGATATTTGAGGTCACTTTATCTTTATTCACATTCATTGTTCTGGCGAACATTTCTCTGTTGGGTATGCTCCCGATTCTTATACAATTCGTTCCCGCTGCCGCTGCTTGTGTTTTTGTGTCGCCTTTTTTTCAAACAATCAAATACTACACCTGGCTACCTATATGGCAACCCATGCGTATGCTGCTCGCTCTGCTGGTAATTCTGTCCTTCCTCTCCGCTGGCCCCCGGGACAGGCAACCATACTTGCCTAATGCTTTCTGACTGAGTATGGCAATCACACTAAGATATAAATGATCGCATCATTGAGCACTATCGCCGGCTACCTTCAGCGCTTGTATGCTGACCGACAGGAGTTTCCTATCTAACAGTATTCATCTAAATATAGAATTTGACCCTATCTCGGGCGTACCGCTACTGACTACCGGCCTAGGTTATGCCTGTATCCCAATTATCGTGCCACACCTCTTCACAGGCTGCAGCTTATAAGACAGCTGAAACAGTCCCACACGCCCTCGGCAGGGAAACTATGCGGCATCGACAAAAAGTTCGCGGGACGAACGATGAAGGATGTCTGCGCCATACTCGCATTCAAGAGTGGCTGGAATGTGATAAGTGTCCTGAAAACCCCAAGGAGTCATGAAAGGAAAGTACGCAAGTCATATATTGCTCGGGGCACTAGAGTCCACGGCCTGCAAATAGATAGCACATTCATGGATGTGACAGGCCAGATTGTTGCTGGTCTTAGTACGAGATCGAGCATTTAAGACGGGGCGGCCATCGACGGATGCATTGCGATAGCACGTCAACAGATGGAGTGCACAGGTGACGGACAAGAGACTCAATCGAAAGGGCAGATGGAACACGAGAACAATCAAGCGAGTCACATAGCAGCCCGGAGGGAGGCGGCGAAGGATCTCAGCAACCTCATCTACACACAGAGAGAAAGTGGGCAGACAGCACCAAACAGCATTCACAACTTGGACGACATCCGAAAAGATTTTCGTTGACGGCCAAATGGGGCAAGACAGCTAACACCTAGCGCGCATGCTGCACAATGACGTTCACGTGATCTACCTTCATCCGGCCCCTGTCACCAGGTGGAAGCGACCGGGCGGTTTAAGCAAGCACAGGTATGAGGAGACCCGGCAGATGATTTGCAATAGTCTGTTCAATGTGACTAAACCAAGTCAGAAAACCATCAAATTTCGATACAAGGGAGGAGATCGCCTCGTTGTGAGTTCGAGAAGTGTTGGCAACTGGAGCGGAAGCACAGAAGTGGCGATATACGGATGCCTGAAACTCACGCCGAGAGGTGGGATAAATCATTTATGTCATGTATGATTAAAAGTGGCAGGCAGTCGAACTCGTTGATCACTCGAGCGGCACAGCACGGAGCTTTCACGGTGAACATTCTGCAAAAACTTTCAGAATGCAAAAAAGAAGAAGACGAAAAAGGCGAATCTTACAATATTGCAGGCCTAAGGGGAGAGAATGCAGAAATGTCAGATAACGTACGCAAGTAGTGGAAAGGAAGGTGGATCATCGTGTCAAATCGAGACCGAACCGTGAGAACATAAATGTTTGCAGAGAAATGGCGACAGAACCCTCCTCCACACTTCGTGGGAGTCGGAGTAATGTTCAATGTCTAATGTTCTAAGATGTTCAACGTTCAACGTTGCAACTGTGAGCCTGGTGATACTATCGTACCTCTGAATTGGCGGGTGGTACGACACAGACTGGGAGCCACCAAGTTGTCTACTAGTATGTAGTAAGTATTTTTCTGCCGACTTTGAACTTAGCTGAAGATAATTAATTACTAGGGTCGGAATTTTGCCATTATAAACAATATGATACGGAACGACCTGGAACAACGTTCTACAGTCTCTGGTTAACGTTGATATTGTACTTTCTAATCCAGCCAAGCACACAGATCATGCTAAAATCTCGTTATTAGTGTTTCCTAGTTCCTCCTTTCAGCCTCCGTCCAGTTTTACCATCACCGGTATCAAAGTCGCTCGGGCTCCTTTGAAATTCCACTGCTTAACTTGCAGTATTCCTCCTGGGCATGCCGTCTTTTGGTACCATTTGGTGGGCTCGCACCCACCCTGGTAGCTCCCTTAGAAAGTAAGCAGGGGATTTCTTCTGTGTCGTTGCGTTGACGAATTTTTACTTCGGACGAGTAGTGATTATTCCAGTTCTGCGTTCGGCAATGATGTCGTACCAATTGTTTTGCTAATATCATTACCATTCACGAGACTCTTGCCCTGAAACGAGATCTCATGACCTCAAAGGTATTGCATGTTCGATTTATTTTTTGACTGTGTGGCAACTGCAGCCAACCGTATGGCAAAGAAAAATGAGTCTGATCACGGGTGTGGTCACTGCGGTGGCGGCACTCTGGCATATATATTCGCCTTCTAGAAGTTATATGTCGAGCTCGTTTTTCAGTCATATAAAACCTTCTCAACAACGTCACCATTAATATTCTCAGCCAGGATGTCAACAAGAATTACTAGTTAAATCTTTCCGTAGGTAAGGTCTGTCAATATGTAATGTATCTTGGCCACATGTTATCCGCCGTGCGCCCGCTGTACAACGCGAATGCGTGGGTTACTACTCTTGATTTACTGGAATTTCTAAAACATCAAGTACTGTCTTTACCGTCTCGCCGAAACTCATGCTATCGACTATGGAGCCTCCTGCTCAGTCTTCTACCAGTTGTGTGCATGACCTTTTCTTGTGATCTTTCTGTAGCATGCTTCATTGTCATGTATGTAAATAGTATCAAGCATTCAAGCAGCCGCTCTGAGTGGAAGGAATTCACGGAAAACTATTTATTTAATTAAACCATATAACGCTCTGACATCTCTTAGAGCAAAATCCAATTCATGTCCTTGAAGCTTGAAGAGTTGCATATGTATGCTACAGCATTATTCCGCAACAACGCCGCATCGTAAAAACAACCGAAATGAGAGACCATGATAAAAATTGTGCACATCCACATCGAACAAAGCCTTCAAACTGGATCCCCTGGAAGGTTGACCAATCGCCTCTCGACAGCTTCGCCCTGTAAAGGTGGTGAAGTTCACGCTCAGACCTGCATGATGCAACGCGGGTAGCGTAGTAGAATGGACCGCGAGTGATTGAGAGCGAGAAGGTTCCAATCATTCAAACGCACGCTAATTAATACGTGACATATGAATACTACGACATGGGCGTCGAACGGCCCGCAAGATGTGCTATGAGAGACGTGGACGTGTGCTCCGTAATGGGTATATCTACCAAATTGATGATGCAAAGGTTGGCCAAAGTTGAAGGTAATAAGGGCACACAAATTAGCTCAGCGTGTGAGTACGTTGATATCAGCATCGTTGAGAACATTCTCAACATCTGAGGGGTGGGTTAAAAACTACTCAAAAGGAATCATGTAAATGGTACTCGCATGCTATGACATCTACCAAGCCATCCCGTTTGGTGAGGACGTTCACATCAAGATTGTCCAAGTCGTCCTGGACGTCTAAGAAAGCTTCAGTGGCGAACTGTGAATTGAGGTAAATGTCTTACCAACGATGACATTGGCCAAACTGCCGTCTCGTTTGGTGAGGACATTCACCGTAAGATTGTCCAAATCATCCTGGACATCTGGAAAACCGTCAGCGACCAACCGTGAGTTGCAGTAAGCGCCATACCAGCAATGACGTTGGCCAAACTGCCGTCTCGTTTGGTAAGAACGTTCACATCAAGATTGTTCAAATCATTGGTGACAGCTAGAAAACCTTCAGCGGCGAACTGTGAGTTGCAGTAAGTGCCATACCAACGATGACGTCGGCCAAGTCCTCCCGCTTGGTGAGGACATTGACATCTGCGTCGTTCAAAACGTTCTCCACATCTACCCATTGTCAGTTTGTATGCTTATTTATAACACGAGTTTGGGCACGTACATGCGATGACATCAACCAAGCCCCCATCACGCTTGGTAAGGACGTTGACATCTGCGTCGTTCAGGACGTTCTCCACATCTGCGTAAATATCAGTTGATATTCTTACAACGAGTTTAGGGACGCACAGGCGATGACATCTACCAACGAACCATCACGGCTCTGAACAGGGGCAGCGAAAGCAGAAGAGCAAAGGACAGCGAGGGATGCGAGAAGAGTGAGCTGCATTTTGAATTGTTAACGAGAGGAAGGGTAAGCAGTTGGAGACGGTGGAAGAGGGAAAAGGATGATGGAACAACTAGAGAGGAAGGCGACTGTTTTTATACCTAATACTGAGATTATTTTCTGCGATGCGAACAGAACGTCATATTGACTCAACATGGCGACCAGGGTTTGCAGATTGGGGCCTTTTGTGACGTGAAAATGATGGAAAGAACTTTTCTCTTCGAAGTAGAAGACCCGAAGGTACGTTATATGCAGGTACCCATCTGCGTAATTTCGCCCATGATCGCGATTGTTCACTGCCAGTGGTAAAGCGTTTTAGACCTTGTACTTACATGCGCGATGGACTGTTGGTTGAGACTGAACGCATCCTATGATTTGTTTCTGCAGTCGTTTCGAATGGGCCACAGTCCGTTCACGCCGTGGATCGTCCACCCTGAAATTGAAATGTGCATCAGCTTCGAACGGTCTGGCCGAGCCGCCGAGGCATTCGCCGACCATTACTGATTTTGTACATATTACGTGCAGGGAAGTGTAACTTCGGTTCGGCACAATAACGCCGCCCAGTGACATAAGGCGGCGCATGTGTGATGTGTGGTCTGCAATAATATTCCAAGCTGAAAATTTACAGTCGTGCAACAGTCGAGCGTCCATGCTGAGCCTCACCGCCATATAGTGTTAAGCCTGCCATGGAAGTAAGTCGCGGAACACTATTCATTAGGTGTCACAATTAGGATGCCTTTGAAGATTGACAAAACACATCTCAACAGCGTTGCCATCTTATAGTGAATTTCACGCTCACACTGGGCGGATGCAACACTGATAGTGTAGCTGAATGCACCGCGAATGATTGAGAACGAGGTTCTAGTGATTCAAACGCACGTTAATTAATGCGGGACATGCGAACACTGCATTATAAGTAGCAACGAACAGCCCGCATGGTTAACTAAGGAAAACGTGGAAGTGCGCTCCGTAATGGGTATATCTACCAAATTGATGATGCAAAGGTTGGCGAGAGTTCGACGTAATAAGGGGACGCAAATCGACTTAGGTGAGTACGTTGACAACAGCATTGTTGAGAACATCGTCAACAACTGTGGGGTTGTGTTAAAAACAGCTCAAGAATCACAAGGATGGTACTCGCTTGCAGTGACGTCAACCAACTGACGCTTAGTGAGAACGTTCACCGTAGCATCGTCCAAAACATAATCGACATCTGGAAAACTGTCAGCGGCCAATTATAAGTTGCAGTTAGCGCACATACCAGCAAAAACGTTGGCTATGGACGCCTGGCGGGTGAGGACGTTCACTGTAGGATCGTCCAAAACATAATCGACGTCTGGAAAACTGTCAGCGGCCAACTATAAGTTGCAGTCAGCGCCATACCGGCAAAGACATCTGCTATGGACGCCTCGCGGGTGAGGACGTTAACAGTTGCGTAGTTCGCGACGTCCTCCACATCTGCGTAGATGTCAGCTCGTAAGCTTCAAATGAGTTTGGGCACGCACAGGCGGCCACATCAGCCACGGATTGACGCTTAGTGAGGACGTTCACGATTGGGTCGTTCGCAACATCCTCCACGTCTACGCAGAGTCAGTTCATATGCTTATGATGAGGTTGGGCACGCACATGCAAAGACATCAACCAAGCCCTGACGCTTGGTGAGGACGTTCACGATTGGGTCGTTCGCAACATCCTCCACATCTGCGCATGTCAGTTCGTGTTCTTACGACGAGTTCTGGGACGCACAGGCAAAGACATCAACCAATTCAGGAGAGCGGCTGTCAACAGGGGCAGCGAAAGCAGAGGTGCAAAGGACAGCGAGGGATGCGAGAAGAGTAAGCTGCATTGTGAATTGTTAATGAGAGGAAGGTAAGCAGCTGGAGGCGGTGGAAGAGGATGGAACAACTAGAGAGGAAAGCGATTGTTTTTATACCCAATACTTTGTGCGATGTGAACAGAATGTCAAACTGACTCAACATGGCGACCAGGATTTGCAGTCTGGGACCGTGAAAATGATGGAAACAACGATTTGTTTCTACTACAGTCGTTTCGATTGGTGCCACAGTCTGTTCACGCCGTGGATCATCTACCCCTGAGACTGAAATGTCAGAAATGCGCATCAGCGGACCGTGGCCCATCCCGCCGACATTACCAATTTTGTACAGATTACGTACACGGAAGGCTCGGCACGATAACGCCGCCCCAGTGACATAAAGCGGCGCATGTGTGGTTCGCAATCATATTTCAAGCTGAACTGCCGAAACTCGAGCTTACAGTCGTGCAACAGTCGAGCGTCTATGCTCGGCTTCACCGCCGTATAGTGTGTTAAGCCAGCCACCATTCGAGTCCGGCCTTTGGCTTCAAGTTAATAGCTGTACTTGTGGCCCGTTGTGTCATCATCGTCCCTTCATTACCAGATCGTAAATTTTTGAATTGAATGATGCGAGGAGTCCGGTACGGTGTGAGAATATTTCTAGAGGGCCGCGAGGAGCACAAATTGGAACAGGGAATTATGCGCCGGAAATCGTTGATCGTGAATCACGGAACGATGGGACATCATACGGCATGACAAGCCATGGCCGACGGGTCTACCACACTACATCCGAGACCAGAACGCCGTAAGGCAGTAAACAAAGACCTAGGCGCCAGCGCGCCAGCACCGACTGGCCTGGCCTCTGCATAGGTAGATAAAGTTAGACAAGATATGCGACGTCACGCCATTCGAAATTCACCCACAAGAGCCGCAAGAATTCGAAGCAGCGTCAGCTGTGTATTGAGGCCGGAAGATGGAAAAGTATCTTTTCCATTGATCTGGAACAAATTTCAATGTGTCGCCAATTGATCGCTAAAAATTGTTAAGTAAACCTGCCTTTGAGATGCCGGCATGTCAGCTAGAACCGGCCGCGCATCAGTAAATGATGGCTTTACGCACATGCCACACCACCGGACCAAGTTGGATAAAAAAATGCAAGGCTCGTTCCGAAAGAGTCTGATGGAAGCCGGTTAGACATTTGATCATGTCGCTGATCGCGGCCAGTCTAGCCTCTACCTAATACCTATCTATTCCCGACTCCCATGCGCAGGGTATGCCGTAGACTGATAGGCTCCAGGCCAAGGCTTCCAAGTTCCAACATGCACATTTCGAACATTTAACCGACTCGCAGGGCCCGCAAGGTTCGTTGGGTCGTGTGGAAGTCATTTGACGTGAGACCAGTCGTTTACTATGTACTGGTACCGCATCGAATCCTGTTGATATAGAAAACCTGCGCGCGAAATGATGGGCGAATTAGTAACAGAACTCAGCATGTACTAACGCACCTTGGGTGAGTGTTGTGATTTTCAGTACTAGACTGGGGACTGTCGTCAGCCTTCACGGATACGTGAAACAAGGAGCATACCAAATCTTGTAAAACTGAAATGGGGTAGACTACTTATACGCTAAAATCCACGTAGCTTCTGGCGCTGGACCGAACAAACTCTGTTAACCAGAGGAAGTTCGGAACCGTTGTCATATAGTGCTCATACGTATATGTCCTATACGCTTGGGCTTCGCTTCCAAGCAATTCGCTGCGTCAAATGGTAAAGTTTTTCGGCAGCACTCAGGCATTGGTAGCCCCATCAGAACTCATTGGAAGAACAATTGTCGCAAGGTCATGCTAGGAGGTGGAAACAAATGTCCTGTAATCCGGTGCCGAACAACTCACGAACCAGAACATGAACCAACGGACTGACCTAACACACCAATCTCATTTCACAGCCTCGACGGCAAAAGGTGGGAGCTAAGATTTCGGATCGAGGCAAAAAAAATTATCATCCAACCACAAAGTATTGAAATATGCATTGTAATATACTCTCCGAATACCGCAGCTGCGGGATAACCTTCAGGCTGTCTGGCTTACTATCTGGGAGACAAACATACATTTTAGCTCGTCATCTAGGAATGGTCTAACTGCCGACTTACCTCCGAATAGCGTTTTCGATATCTCCCCATCTCAGGTTCTGGACACCTTCACCCTCACGTCCGACACGCCGTGGTCCCATGATGGCACTGTCGTCGAGACGCTCCAGTCTCACAATCTCACGGCGGATGTAGGAGACAAGTGTGACCATAAGCTCTGGATAACCGATATATCTGGGGTAAGTGACGATTAGCAAGAAATAATATGAACACAAGATGAGGGATGCTTTAGCGCAAGTGCCACGGGTGGGTACTGCACTGGAGACGACATTGTCGGATGCGCACCGAGTGAGTGACAAAAGAAAAATAATACACATACCGGTCATTTTCCGAAGGAGCAAAGTCATGCACGCCACTGTTATCGTCCTTGAACTCTTCTTTATCTACGTCCACCTTTCTCACATCCTCGACAAGTCCACCAACTAGGTTAACCGCTCTCCGATAACCGCTGCCGTTGGCCTCGTGGTCCAACGCAATCCCACTTGCACCCCGTGCACCCAACAAATTTCTCCAGACTGCTGCAGCCATCTCAGCATCGCCCTTTACGAGGCCAAGGTCTAAACTCATTCCCATCCCGGCCCATTGCTCTTTTAAAATTTTCATCTGCCTGGTGATCAACTTTTCTGGTGCACGAGAGCGTTTCTGAAGTTTTACGGCCTCTTGGTAGGCTTTATTCGAAGGAAAGGTGCTTTTGGGAGCAAGGGCGGCGGGCGTGGTGTAAAAAGAGCTATGTGGATAATGTGAACCATCCTCGGTAGTGCCTAATAGCTTTGGCGATGAAGAACGAGGAGGTAGGACGCCTGGTTGAAGGACAGCGCGCAAGCGTTCCTCGACGTCCTGAAAGAAATGGTCAATGAGCCCTTGCACATGCTGTATCCCATGTGGTGCAGGGAGAGCACGGAGTCGGACAGTGAGCAGCCAGACATGCAGGTTTGTGATCGTAAACCAGGACTGGAAAGTTGGCGGAAGAGCGTATTCTTATTTAGGAATTAATTAAGCGTCACATAGAGTTACTGCGCATACCTTCTCTCCAAAATGCAGACGCTTCATCAGCACGCGTAGCACATAGAGTGTTGTATAAGAGCAGAGTGCGCCGATTAGCAAACTGTTGCGGCGAGCCATAGCCAAGAATACGCGCCGCAGAGAGAAATACTGAGAAAAGGAGTGGAGAAGCCTTGACTTTCGTGGTCAACCATGATTGCTCTCGCTGCGGTGCAGGCTCGAAAGACGGAGGGGGAGGCGTTGAGGTCGGTGTCGGTTTCAGTTTCGGTGCAGCTGCCGCCGAGCGCGTCACTGAAGATGAAATCACGCGCACATTTCTATGCAATTTTACATGGAAATCTGATCTGACTTGGTCATACGCCCTAGCTTGGCGCGCTGAACGAACAGCTTGACGGACGAGAAGTTGTGAAGACATGGAGAGCTTCCGAGCCAACTCGAGCTTCAACGGCAAAATGTTAGCTTATGTAAGCGACGATCTTTCACCACGCTCCTCGAGCCCGACGATAATGGGATCGATCATCGCAGCAAAGGGAACTGGAGCATATTCGTTTCAAAGTTCGGACACTGACTCATCGTACTTTGCTCATCATACTAGAATGACACTCATCGGCATTGTCATGCCATGGCCCAGACCATCATCCCCGAACACGATCCTTCTAACATCTCACGTAAAACCTTGCACAAGGTTTATACGGGTCGCATTATTGTCCGACTTTTTGGTAATGATGCTGAACAGCAGCCGTTCTGAGAATATACTAATATTCAATAACTTCTAGTTTCCCCCTGAACCGACCGATTCAATGGAAGGCAGATATGTATTAATGGTGACATCACATTACAGCAAGTCTTATCGTCCAACTGCTACGACACACGTGTGCCGTCTGTACATACACCACATGAATTTGCCCGCCATGCCACGATGAAGCTCCATATTATCTCCACGCACGAGGGTAATACCGATCATCCCCTTTGTTCTAAGACCGTGCGGCAACATTGGGTTAAACCGATCACCGACGGATCTCTTAGGCTAACTCGGGAAAGCTTCGACGCGTCTGCCTGCCTACAACTGCCCTTCACATGGTATTGTTCATGTGCAACCATTCCAAACTTATGTATATATTTATCACGGCATGTAACTAGGATCTATTGTTCCACTGTTGATTCTGATGGATAGCACGATTGGTGACTTCGATCACGTGCTTGACTGTTAGCTCCACAGCAGGGATCAATGGGTGCTAGGCAGTTTCTTGGACAAAGTTACTCTTACGAACGTTTCTTCACACAATAGGGATTGAGAGGAAGAGGAAACAGTTCATTACGCGGCTAGGTAATAAGTGATTTAACGAGTGGAAGTGGTAAACGAATGGTGGTGGGCGGGGTATGTGTGACGCGCGTCATCGGGTATGAAATACTGCTTTGCAAATCGTCGAGTTATTTACGCGACGAGGACCTCCGGGTCGTTTAGATTGTTCTCAAGAACCGAATTTAATTTATGAGACGATCACATTGCAGCCATGGAAATACTAACAGGCAAACACGTCAATGTCCGCTGATAACGTTGACCTTCGCATTGCTTGGATCATTCTCAAAGACCTGAGCTTGATTTGAGAGTCGTTCACACTGTAGTTATAAAATTACTCACCGCCAACGGTGTCAACGCCTTGGGGGTGCCCATAGAGTGACCCAACAACTTTGTTGGCAAGGTTTTGGACATCAGAAGTGCTCGTGTCTCGGCGCCGTGATCCCGAACCGCTCGATTGTGCTAGGGCTTGGTTGATTGCTACAATGACGTCAGAATCTGGCAATGACAGAAATAGCACGTGCCATACCGCTGACAATTTGGGCTTGAGTAAAGTCACTCTCCTTGCCCCGTGCAGCAACGCCCTGGTACCGTTTGAGGATGTCATTGACAGCCGTGGCATCGTCGAGATTAGAGCGATGTGCTAAGGTAATACCCTGACTTTGCACTGCGTTTGCAACAGCTATGAGGAACTATCAGAAAGGCAATACAAAATGAGCACGATAATGGCGTACCGTTGTTGACCTCTTCATCTGTGACTTCACGCTTGGTGAGAATATTGACCTTGAGGTTGTTCAATATATCAGTGGCCGCTAACAAATCATTCAACACTTGAACCCGTACAGAAAAAGAAATACTTACCAGCAGTAACTCCGACAATATCGCAGCCCTCGGTGCGCTTCAAGATATTGATTGTAACATTGTTAAGTACGTTGCTGACAACTGTTCAACGCTTGTTAGGCCGTGCACAGCGACTCGTAAGAAAAATCACTCACTAACGTCTACATCAGCGACGTCACATCCGCTGTCTCGTTCCGTGAATTCAAGCCTTTTGATCAGCTCGTCGAAGACTGAAATGCCATTCTGGTCAGCATAGCGGGTGAGTCGTGATAATGGTGCGTGCTTACGTCCGGGATTCACTGCATCAGCACGTTTTGTCAACACATTGACGGTCGCGTCGTTGCCAACGTTGGTAACAGCTGCAATAAAAACACAATGAGGAGGGGCAACACATACACGAGAGGTGACTTACAAGCAAGCACGTCGACTAGTGTTTCAGGAACGGGGGCTGCAAATGCAGGGGTGAAGGTAGCGAAGGCAGCAAAAAGAGCGAAGTATTTGGAGAGCATTGTAGAATGGAGGGCGATTGGAGGAAGTAAGGAGGATGTGCGCGGAGGAAGCACTGAAAGCTGACGATAGTAAGCTGGTCTTCGATGGTACGAGCGCTCGCATTTTATACTACAAGAGCTTGCCGAGATTTGCTCTCAGGGATAGGGTCCCGAGTAATACTTACATGCGGGTGCGGCCAGTAGTAAATCGAAGAAGCGAGGAAAAACTGCAAAAAAAAAGTTCCAGTATTTGCATTGAGTAATCATTTTGGGATAAGTATGCCGTTCGCATCAATGTGATTGCTTGTTTAAACGTAATTCTACGTAAACGCAGGCCTAGTAGGCCAATTTGCTTGATCGGCTTTACGACGAGCTTTTTTTGAACAGAAGGGTTGGGATATATACATCGCGTAATATGTGAAACCGCGAGGGCGCCGCCTGTGATGGGGGATGGGTCAGTCTACCAATGCCAGATGAGTTGAAGTGACTCGCGATCTTTAATTCTCAAGAATCTTTCCTCCTCTTCATTTCTGCAAAACAGTAGATGCATCGATGCATCGATGATGTTTCGTCATCGTGTCGGGATGCTGAGGCCTGAATGACACAACTTGTGACTTTCCATGATCGTCGGGTCAAGTAGTCGAGTAATCTCCGCATCCCTCGGCTAACGTGTCCACACTAAACGCGATGAGCAGCCTGAGTGTGTGTGCGAGCAGTACTACTAAATCCTGACCGACTTCCCTGAGGCCGAGACCCCCATGTCGTGTCTCGTAAAGTTAGGCGGTGTATCAAGTCAAGTGCGGCTAGATATTAATGAATTAGATGGCGCCTCTATGACGAGTGAGACATGGGATAGAGCGCCAGTGTTTTAGTAAAAATGCATGGTGATTGGATTGGTCAGGCTGAGTGCGATGAGTACTGAATCTCACCAGTCTGAGGTACCCGTCGCAGTGCATACGTACTCTTGCCCGTTTCTATGACATTTAAACGATATATCATGGAAACTTCTTGATTTAGCGCGGCCTTTGACTCATCAACTCAACGTTCATTGACTCCATGTCAACATGCGCCCAATCTGATGGCCTACTGTGCTGTGTCAACATATATATCACAACGGAGTGTTCTAAACAGAAAAAGGAAGCTGATCAGCTACTCAGTCGCCCACAAAATCACAAAACATACGTGACAACGGCCTGAGCTGAGCGGCATTGATTTGACCACAATAGTCTAGATCTCCCGTAGTCGAGTCTAAATTTGGTCTTTGCTAATTATCAGGGGTATGACAATAACAGATAACAAAAATAATTATCATTTTCAACAACAGAACCTACTAGGCTAGGCCTTAGGCCTCGACGTTCAACGTTCAACGCTCACCTCATTGCTCGGCGCCGCACGAGAACGCGAGTATTGAATGGGCATAGTAACTATCTGACGGCCAACTTCTTCGTGAGTAGCACTCATGTAACAGTTCGTTCGGCAGACGTGATTCAGTTAACTTCAGCAACAACTGATTAGGACGCTACAAGTAAATCTGTAAGTATGTAAAGAAATATATAGAGCTAATTGCAAATCATTTGGGGGAGGCGAAAATGTGTGAGCGAGTGAGTATTGTGAAAAACGAGCGAGCGGGTCGTATGGTGAATGAAAACGCGAGGAAGAAACGGGCTCTAGACGTGTGATACCGAGCCTTCCAAGCGCTCAAAATCCGGCACCTTTCACATAGTAGCGCAAATGACCGTCTATATCAAATTCATCATTGCGCGAAGCTGCCCTTCTCTCGCTGAATTCACGACTTCGAACGAATACTGGAAAGGCTGCGGGCGACTTCGGACGACTTAAACTTAGCTTTATCTCGTGTGTGCATCGAGGCCACTTACATCACCATGCCGGTGGTGAATTCCGGCTTTACCTCAATCTTGTTTCCGTTCGAGTCTCTGGCATGATCGATACTCAAGACGGCGAGAATGGCAGCCATTGCATGCCACAGGCTGTTCTGTACAAACCAACGACCTGCCCACGGTATGAGTATGTCATCCTTAACATTGATAAATCAGTAGTCATCCTACCAGGACAAACGCGCCTGCTCAAGTCGGTGAACAACTAAAAGTGATACTAATCGCGAGATATTCACCTGGCATGACCAAAGGCAAAATGGTTGACAAAATGGTCCTTCAGCTGCCCATCAGCTGTGAGATGGCGAGTGGGATCGAAGCGCGATGCATCAGGAAATATGTCTTCGTCTCGAGACAATGCCCTAAATCATGCTCAACTCAAGCATTTAGATACGCTGCGTCGTACAAACCATTGATTAACCATCACCGCCGTGCCTAATTAAACTGCAGATAAGTCGATGTAACCCCGAGTCATATGACGAACCTCTAGGTATAAAGTACCCGCCATAAAAGTCATCATTTGTTGTCGCATGCGCCATTCCTGTGCATGGGGTTAGCTACGCAATTGCATAAACACCAAGGCACATTAATGGACCGACCTAGGGGTATGGCAGGATACCATCTTAGAACCTCATAGAGAACGGCATCAAGGTAAGGTAACGATGGTCTATCATCAACGGACGGCATTTTATCATGCGTCACGACTTGATTTATTTCTGCACGAATCCTGGCTTGGACATCGGGATAAAGTACCATGGCCATCAGGAATGTGTGCAATGTGGATGTAGACTGCGGGACATCAAGGTAAGGGAAGAAGTGATAAGGATTCCCTAAGCCAATGACTCACCGTCTCTATGCCGCCTGGGACGCCGTATCCGCATCAAATAAGGATTCATGTGCCTTTAAAAAAATCATTACCTATGTACCCCATCAATGCAACAGCTTTCATCGTGTCTTCGTCAGCATCATCCTCAGTTTGACTGAGGAAGTCGGCGACTAGTGATTTCGAAGCAGTACCATGTGCCTACAGGTAAGTAGATCATGCAAATCGTCCAGCCACAATGCGCAAACGCACCATCTGTGCCTTCACCTCGTTAAAGGGCTCGTTTAAAAGCTGTTGACATAATTCTTTACTGCGTCCCATCAGGGCATAAGCTCCACGAAAGCACCAAACTGGCAGCTTTTTAACTGTAACCGACACGCCAAATGTTCGAATCGACTTCGTCGATAGCATTGAAGTACTCACGGAAAGGAAAGGCTGTGAATATGGCAGCTCTCTCTGGAGAAAGGAGTTGTTTGGCAATATCCAGAAGTTCTTGCGTACGGGTAAGGATCGGGTCTTGGGTTCCGCGACCGGTGTGTCCATATGTCACGGACATGATCAGCGATGCCGTGTATCTGTAACAATTGTATGATTGTCAGTAAGATCGGAGGTTACAGTATCACTGAAAAAGGCACAAACGCTTGAATAGGTTTCTGGAGGTCACCGGTGGCCTTCAAGAGATCGAAGACTAATTCATTCGCGTGGCGAGAGTACATTTCCTGGTATGAAGCAGAGGCTTCGGCCCTAAGGACCTGATGGAAGATCTTGCGATGTTGTCGCAAAGTCTCGCCATACGGAAGGAGCACAGTATTGAATCCCAGTCCAGCCCTGCCTCGTCAGCTGATCAGAATAGGCTAGATGAGAGCAAGACGTACATCTCAGAGGTGGGAATGACAGGTCGGTCCGAATAAATTGCAGAACGCTTGTCCAACAACTCCCGCGCGATCGATTCAGAGTTTATGATGATCATATCGATCCCAAAGATGCGAGAGTGAATGATTTTGCCTGTGAAAAGGGATAAAATTACATCCAAACACTTGAAGAGACCTTGGGCCACCCACCATATGTCTTTCCCCAGGCAACATATGTGAGCCAAGGTCGTTTGGTGTCCAATTGCAGTGCGTTTCCCAGAAATGGTAAACCGCGAGGGCCAGGGGGCAGAGGTAAAGGGTAGACGCGTCTGCGACTCAGACGCAAAGCAACAATCAGGGAAATAATGCACGAAGTCGCTAGAGAGAGAACCTGAGCGGAGAACATGAGAGATTGCTGTTGAAGCCATCATAACGTTCGTTCGCCTTATAACACCGTGACAGGACTTTGGGGCATAATAATAGGCTATAGCTGCTATCAGGATGAATTCGGGAAAGTCTCGTTGTTTTCTCCTAACCAGATCTGTCTGTATCAACGTTCTCGAGCTGTAATTTCTATCAATAATATTTTCAAACTTTCGATCTCGAGCTCTGCCACGCACGCGATCGTGATGTGGCGTGGGCACTCGTCGTCTTATCGGCGATGATGGGCACCCGCCGCCGGCACATTGCTACACACTCAAACCACTCACTACACGGACACTTTCTACGACGGTGAGAGGCCTTGTTTGTGTACCTGTGGCCAGTGCTCTTTAGCTGACCGTGGTCAATTCCAACAGTCAATAACGACTTGCCTGTTGGGAGAGTCAGACTTCGTAATCCACGCTGATGTTGTTCTCGCAAATCATTGACCTGCTTCATGGGCCATGTTAAGTCTTACTCGCATGTGTGTGTTGAATCCGTCCGCTATGGAGAAGTAACGGAAAATATGCTTGCTGTGCCTACTTCGATGGCCGAGTTGCTGTCGAGTCTTCAAAATCGACATGGAGTATGACAATCAGGGTCAAAGTTCCAAAACAGTCGCAGTCGTTCATCCTTTGTTGTGGACGATAACATGCCAGCATTCCCATGGGATTCGTGGTCCGTCTCGCACTTCTAAACACTAATTTCGCATCTGACTGCATCTTGCTAGGGCGATTCATCTTGGTGTTCAAGTCTGGTACGGGAATGCCCTTGGTGATACGGAGGTCGTTGAAATCGAAGTTACGTCGGGACAACTCATGCTCATCCCCATTACTATTTCGGATGTTGACTATTGGGTGATGATAGCGCACAATCATGTACGTCTATTGTTATTTTGATATCCACTACTCATGACTTCGTAGAAATGGATGTGGATGTCAATCTCGAGCTTGCCGAAGTTGAATAGTACAGCATTGGAAATACTCATCGGACGTGTGACGGACTGCATTCTGTGCAAAGGTAAGTGCATATATCGACGAAAGCCCTTGCGTGAACTTACATTCAACACAATGTCGTATATCGCTTTAGTTGCTTTGTCAACAGGCTTGACTGTTAGTAGCGCAGTTCCTGTTCCATTTGAGGTGGGTTTATTTTCTCCAAGAAGTACGCTGCATTTATGCTTGATGTGGAGTACACATCCCTTTATTCATTGAAAGGCATCGTTTTTACAAGAGGATATAAAAGTCTCTTTTCTTTCAAAGGGGTGAAAACGTTGCTCAAAAGTAGTGGTGGCTAAGTGACGCGCACTGTAAATCAAGCAAGCAATGCCACTGCATCGAATACCTTGAAATTAGAGCATCTATACTGAGACTCATCTACAACACCACGGTACCAAATGATTAGATTGCCATAAAGTCGTTGAAGATGCCAGTTTATCTGAACGATTTGACGCCGTATATCTACATAGTGTAAGTATAAAATAAAAAAGGAATCATGTGCCAGATATACAAGTTAGGTATGGTTTTGCACTTCGTCTTCTCTTCCGATGTTCCCAGCAGGTAATGCCGGAGATTTGGACGGAAGAACCACATCCATCTCGCTGACTTCAACGTAGATTTCTCCTTCAGTGTGTCCTCTCCTCCACTGGACACGACTGAGTTCCGCATGGTTGAGCAACCATGCCGGATCGACATGGTAAGTTGCAGCCAAGGACCGGATGTTTAGCATTGCGCGACAGATAGAAACAGCCGTAGCTGCCATTGCTATTCTGGGTGATAGATGTTGCTCGTGAACTTTAGTGAACTACTATGGACAGAACAATCTTACCCTCCCATATCAGTTGGATTATAGAAATACTGGCAATGGTTATGAGCTTTCGTGCAGTTATCGCCATAAAACTTACGGCTATGTCCTCTGGATTAGTCAGAGAAAGACTGATGATTTCGTACAGTAGCGATCCTGTTATTTTCTTGAGCGTTTGCTAAACGAAAAGAATCGAGATATATTCACCGGCTGCAAACGAATACAAGAACATCCCCCTAAGCAAACATTGGCTTTTGTGGTAGAACTTGTGATCAATGAGGGGCTTACTCTTTGATGAATCGGTGGATCATCCCGTGTTGCTGCAAGGTTCTGGGGGTGACGCGAAAGCGGTACAGCGTAAGTAAGAACATAGTCGTATGGACAACCAAGGCTGGCACATAGATGATGAATGTAAATGTAAGGCGTGCCGAGCTCAAAATGATGTTCGTGTTCGTGTTCGTGTTCGTGACACTCTTGATTGCATTATACTCGACGGCGCCCAATATTCCAGTTACTACCAAGCAAACGGTGAAAACAGTGACTGCCAGCCATTTGATGAGGCAACTCCGAGGGAACAGGTGCCATACTCTCAATGTTATAACACCTGTATACCACTCGATTCAGTGGGATCGATATCGATCAATGCGCAACGGACAGACATTGGCATAGAACCATGACTGTTAATCTAACAGCGTAGTCCAATATAGGAAGCCAGTTCAGTCTACATCAATCTGTAAGTCGGTCTATTGCCTTGTTATATGAAATAGCTCACTCCTGTATAACGATGCATGTAAGACCCCAACGATGATATGCGCAGCTCGAAAACTCACCGGATGGTGATAGATCTTGGCTGCTCCTATTTGTGCCAGAGCAGTAAGACTAAACAATATTATCATTTCTAGTGCATTTTTTCATTAAACGGAGTCAAACACACCAAACTTGCGTGAGAGCCAAGTATCGGATCTGTCGAACCTAAAATCAGTCACTGACAAGAATAATTCGTAATGGCCTTACGCTGAGATACAGTATTCTTGACGGTGACCATGGACTGGCCCAAAAGAAAGTCACCTAAAATAAACGATGTCAGTGAATCAGAGTTAGACTGTCATCGACCATGAAGACGAAGGTACTTCTTGAGCGAATGTGATAGCATGATCGTACACCACAAGAGTAAATGATACGATGGTAAGAGTCAATTGCTGAATAGCAATGCTCGCTGACTGCTGTGCGGACATAACAAAGTATGGGGTGCCCTCGAGTGTTGACATCGTTGAGATCTGAGAGCTCACAGTACCCTCTGTGGGTTGCATCAAGAAGAGCTGATTAGTGTCGTATACTATATATACACCGTGATGAACAGGAGGCGAAGCTGAGCGCTGATGGATGACACTTACTATAGGCACAGCTGATGGGCATCACTGGCAGGCTGAGCCTGTCAACTATAAGTTACAGATGATGAGTTATGCATCATCAATCCTGTTCATTCATCATATCTCTGTCAGTTTTGTGCCAAAGTTCCTCTCATGCTTCTATTTGGTGTGATGGTGGTGAAGTGTTCTGCCGGTCAATGAACATTTACCAAAGTCAGCGTCTGTTTATGGACGAACGGATGCGAACTGAACGTGTCTGAATATTATATAATCACATCATGATTGGACGACAAAGCAAAACACGTTGGCGCTGTTCAGAACGGCGTCAAAAGACTCGCTCTATGATATCATATTCCCCTCCACACATTAAACGTTTGATCGCGAATAGGCTGAGGTTAAGGCGCGGGACTTAGCGATAAACGCCATTGATAACCAGTAAAATGATTATACATCACAAAGCACAGCCCTGATCGAGGTCCTCCAGAATCTGTCCAATGGTGTCGGTACACTGCAAGATGTCACTGAAGATATATGCACCAAGAAGATAGTGTCACAAGGAACATAGTTGAATTAACGAGGAACCTTTCGGAAGCTTGATATGCGTAGGTGAGCAGAGGTTGGCCAACCAAAACGACGTGATAATGGAAGCAGATCACGTCCTAAAGTCATGCAAATATCATAAAATTTGTTGGCATGAGACAAACATAGGTGAATGTGTTAGTCGATGCGGCTCTATTGCAACCCACTCTGCTCTATCGCGAGTGGATGATCAATATCATATCCTCACATTCAAGTGTATTGCTTACCCATTGTATCAACTATGAAGGAATCAACCCCGGGCCTTTTTACGCAACCTATCGTCACGAAGACCCCACAGTGGACCACCTGTCAAAATTGGTAATCAAAGCGAGATGAACAAAGACATGCCACTAAGCTTGCACACCGACCTATTATAGGCACCGTGGACAGCTGTGGACGGTCGAACGCGCCAAAGCCGTCCACAGTACTGGAGATATAAAGATGCACCTTGCAGTGTCGACGGAGGCTACCACAAATCGCTCACTCTTCCCTGCGTCTTTCTTCCTTGACCTCGGCCTTGCAATAATATGGAGAATATGACCATCCAAACAGTCACGAAGTGCTCCGGTAGCGCTGTTTCGATAAACATCACCGACGGTCCGGCACTGTCCCTTACAAACAGACTCACCCCCGCCGAGCGAAAGGCCTTTGGTAATTCAGATCACAAGGCTGCCAAAATCCTCGGTATTACACTCACACGCAATCACCTGGACCAGGATGGGAGCCTTGCTACAGTCTCATCTGCAGATGAAGAGGTTTCCCAAGTTTACGACAAGCTGGGAGAGATGATGGCTCTCGTAGGTGCAAAGCGTGCAGGTAGTCGCAGTCCAAGCGCTGTGACCATCTTTAAGCCACGCAAGGGCCTAGGAATGGACTTGATAGAGAAGAACAAGAAGCGTAGAGTGGCTAGGGAGTATACACAACGCGTGGTCTTGGGACCCTTACGCTTCAACGAGCCACCTGTCGAGGAAGGCAAAGAATTGTCAACTACCGTCGACGACGACGGCGCATGGTCATTCTTAAAGCCCGACGAAATTGAAGAGACAAAAAGACCTCTTGCATGCAAATGTCAAGCGAGAAATAACGAAGATCTATTGGGTAGTTCAAGAGATTTTGTTTGGGACGTCCAAAATCCATTTGCCACACCTCCCAATGCCGTCCTTCAGCAATATTGCAAGACAATGCAGCTCGGTGAAATGATTGGACCTTTGGATATTGCACCGCCGGTGGCATCCCTCGGCTACACAACTAATTTCGAGCCATCACCTGAAGAGATTTCGGCACCCCATTCTGATGACTCGTTTGACAACATTCTTCGTCCTGCGGAACAAGCTTACCTGGATTTTTTGATTGCACAAGACGAAGCTGAGGAGCATCCAATGGAGAGGAGAAGGCAAAGAAGGGCAGCAGTGCGGTCGAGGAACAAAATACTGGATGTGTTGGGAGCGGAGGCGCGACAAGCTGTTGATGGGCAATGTTAGCCACTTCTGTTGGAAATATGATGTTTGTAGTATGATATTCGATCACTGTAACACTAACAGATAGGTACTCACAAAAACTTACCTGAAGCATAAAGAGCGGGATGTCGGAAAACCAGTAGAATCAACGACAAGTACAATGGCGTGACACCAGACAGGGGAGATACACAAATAATTCAATCTCCTCCTCGGCACACGGTATCTACTTAGCCGCAGTCAAGGCTGAGTGAGTGTTCCGGTGGGTTCTGTGGGTAACACTTTGATTGTGACGACCCTGACCTCGAGAAAAATCCACGCGATGGAAGTTACCCTACCCGTTCTCGGAGGCGCTGTCTCGATAATGACATTAACACTGCTGAATTACAGCAGGACGCGATTCCCAGTTCACGAACCATTTGGACACCAACCTCAGCCTGCGCTTCAAGTTCCTCAACCTTCGATGTCAACATAAATTTTCCCCAGGCCAGGTATGCCCCGATGCAGTGGAGACTCGGGATATGTATGCAGGGCATCAAATATATTCTGCAGGCTGTCTGCAACACCACCAGTACAATCATAGTAATTATCACTGTCAGTATTAGATGAATTACTTACTCTGGGTTAATGATACCAGTATGCTGTCACGGTATTCGCCGTTTTCGAGCTTTTCGCGACTCGGATCATGGATGCGCGCACTTTGGAAGGCTTCGGAGAGCGAGCCGCTGATTGCGCCGAGGCGTGACAAGACGTGACCAAGTTATAGATTAGAGGTAGACCCTGGGTTTCCTCCGTCACCACGATCCTAAAAATTAGATCCATGTATTAGAGGAGATATGAATCTATGATGGATAAAAGCAAAAGCGATGTGGTTGAGGATTTGCTGAAAATATTGCGTATTACAGGGAATGAGAATAGACTTTTGCGATTGGTTCCAGAGTGGCCAGCTGTCCCTGACTCCAGGGCCAGTTGGAAGCTTCTGAAACCCTTGACTACTCGGACCCGCTAGGACGTCACGTGACTTGTAATGTTTCGACGTTTCCTGTAGCCTAGAACCAATATGCGATATAACAAGTGACTAGTAATCTGAGTCTAAAATATCAATCTCTCCATTTTGTCATTGATCAGCAAATGGTGCTACACTTCCACATCGGCTCCGGGTCAGTACTTAAGTATCGCCAGGTCCGAATGGAAGCCATCATTCTTTGGGAATCGGACCCGGACAACCATAGCGTCATTTACGAAACAAAAATTAGCATATAAACTGACCTACTCCGCAATTGCAATTTTAACGTTCCATCACCCCCGTCCCCTACACAATTATCGTCCAAGAGCAGAATGCGTATTTCAGCTCTCCTTACACTCTTTTTCAGCTTCTTCTTCATTATTGAGTTGGCGTTTTCTATTCCTTTATCAACACCAGCCCTGGCATACACTCCTGGTACCCGCGGTGAGCTTTTTCGTTAGTAAACTTGATTCATGGCGCTAACATGTTCATTTTTCACTTTTGACCTCGAAGATATTCTCGGTTCACAGAATAAGCGCATTATGGACCCTGTAACTGGCACCATCGGAATGTTCCTCAGGATGCTAGGCAGGCCGGGCTTGCACGAAATGCAATTGGAGATTGATGACTACTGTTCCAAATTCCCGTGTCCCACACCAAGTGAGTGTAAACAAGTCTTGCGAACAGTGCAGGACTCATAAGCGATTGTATCCAGGAGGGACATCCGAAATTTAATATTTATACCAGCCAGCAAGAGTTGTCTTTGCGGCTTTGCGAGACTTTCAATTGTATACCCCTCGGATTGTTGTACCTCTGGCAGGCCGGGCATGCTATGTTTCAGTCCATTTGTTATTATTGTCCTAACATTTGAAATTATTTGCAAGTATATAACTTATCATGTATGTAACTCTGTAGAAGCTTGTTTCACTTACCTCGAATGCATGGAACTCACTCGTGGTATAGCACAACAAACTGTTACAGTTTCTTGTGTGGAAATTCTTTGTTGCACGGCTTAATACTTATTTCATAGTCAATGGCAGGCCTTACATTTACCTTGATGGAAACAAACACTTGATTGTCTTTTACTACCTGTCAGCTCGGGTCCTGAGTTGAATCATGAACAGTGCGTACCGGTAGTGAGTAAGGGGTGTTTTGCATGTTGAGACTGAAGTTTGGACGCAATGCATACCCTGAATGGCGACAGAAGGCATACGCAATTGTTATAGGCTATAGCGGCACTTGTATACAACTATGATTACATTGACTTGACAAACCCATGGTAGCAGTCTGAAATCCAAGCACAGTAGAAATCTGGCGTTTCATGGCCCGTCGGGTGAAACAAGCGTCATTTACTGACTCAAGACACCTACGCTAACATTGTTCAGAACGTTACTGACGACTGGTGAAATACCATCAGATAGCCACCAACTTGAATAAAGACGGTACTGACCAACATCAACGCCAAGCAAGGTATCATTATCGCGCTTTTGGCTGAGATTGACATCATCTAGAACGTCTCCTGTGAAAGACTTAGCTAGGAGGGACGCCAGAATAGATAAATGCTCACTGGCGTCGACGTCAACTCTGACCATCAAGCCATCAAGTTGATCCAAAGCATCTACGGAAGCTGTGGGTGAGGCAGCAGCATAAGCAGTAATGCCAAGGGCGCAAGCGAGTATAGTGATGGAGTGGAATAACATGGCAGTAGTGGCAGCAACAATCAACACAGAAGGTCAAAGTGATGAATGGTCAACCCTCATACACGATTCATCTTTTATACCTAGCAGTGTAGAAGCGGGCATCAGCGAGTAAGACGCGATCGAAGATCAGAACCATGTGCATGAGCAGTCACCAGTGCTCGAACGATCACCGGCACCGATGTTAAGAATCCCCGAAGTCAAACAAGACAAAGAGTTGCCTATGGTAGAACTCTCGATTTGACATGTACTCACCGAAGTGCCCAAAGCATACTGGAGCTGAAGACAGTTCGGTTCCAGCAAGAAGGCATGATATCGCAGCGAATACAAGGATCCCACGTAGCAGTAAAGCTGTCAGGCCAACGTCAAAAAGCATCCCGCCATGTCAACGGACTCACAAAAATGTATCGATCTTTGCTTGATGTAAGACTCTTTTGATTCAAATACGTCTTGCATGATCCAAACATCGATGCGCAGGTATACCCGGTGATCGAGTACTTTCTCCGATGTGGCATTTACATACAAGCCGCGAAATTCTGGTGGAAAGACGGTGACAAGTTACTTTCGGTGAAACCAAACCATCGAACCTATGGATGGATCTGACGCTCTTCACAAACAGTAGTGTATTGTGCTCCAAATGGCTGTATGCCTTCTGGGAATGCATGAGCACAAGGCGAGATACGTGCAACGTCGCACACAACGAGGGTCCAGATATCCAAAAATGTACTAGCAGTAAGAAACAAGCGATGGTGGTTGTCCATCCTCGATCAAACGGTCAGAGGAAGTCAGATTATGCCATACAGTTACTAATGCCGCGGCTCACCACAACGTCACCCCACTCGAATAAGCGCGTTTTATTCCGTTTGATCATCGTGTGTCAGGTCAACGCCTTGGAGAGTTGCAACAGTTTTATCAGCCCTGATGTTGAATCCGGACACAACTTGAACCCCTGAATCTTGAGGACAGGCGCCGGCCTCAGACCATCAAAAGATCCGACATTCATGGAAGTTCGGAAATACCACTTCGCCGACTCAGAATATACGTGTACTTTTTTATCTGCAGGGAAAGCATCGGAACCACTGCAGTACTAGTCCAGACTCTAGAATGGGTGTGAGTCAGTACCATGCGACCGACTCGGAATCAGTCTCGAGGTCTTGATCTAATGGGCTTCAGAGCGAGAATCAGTGCGTGGTGCAGGAGACGTTGACTGGTTGCCCGTCGAGGCTTTTTCTCCGTGCACGCGTAGGCCGCAGCTCCCGTTCTGTACAACTTGAATGGTGCCAAGCCGTCTAAGTGCAAGGGCCGCCAATTTGTCCCCAGTACTTATATAAGCACCTCGCTAATAATCGCTGGACTGGTTTTACCCGGAGGGAGCACGAGTTTGGGACATGGTAATACCAATGATTATGATTAATGAAGCGTTGAACCTACTAATTGTCCCTATCGCCCTTCTATAAAACCCTTTGCAGCTCGAGGAAAGGACATATGACTAATGATATCTGTTTCGAGTACCTATTTAAATGAAAAACTTCCCAACATATCATACATCCCGGTGGTATTGAGTGAGCTGCTCTATGTGAGTACTGCGGCGCTGGAGTCGGAAGGGCAGTACCGAATGCAGTGCGATGCAAACGAATCTAACGTCTGCTAGTGTGTGCACTCGTGTCTATTTGACTGGGGTCCTGCGAGTGCATTTGAGGGATACGTAGTATTCATGATTTACAATTCACTTACAATTTGCCACGAGCTAACCTCTGCTTAAGAGAAGTAAACACGCTAACACTGCGAATGCGCATAGAATACGTGAGCCAGAAGATCGCAATGGTCTACAGAAGGCACATTAGCATCAGATCTGGGCAACATCCGACAGTGTCTCACGTTAAACGCAACGAATCCAAAGATAATGCCCAGGTTTCGCCAGTGATCACTGTATTTAACGTTGAACCTCGAGTACATATATTCGTCAGTGGTCTTGTAGGGACAGTACTGGCAGCCCTCTGCAGCTCCGGGGTTTGTGAGGTAGCCACCAGCGAATTTGAGAAACGGATCCATGTACTCGCTGCAGGTCATACTCATCGGCGGGTCAACAGAAACTAGTTCCGTAGAGGAGCAGATAATGGTTTGACCGCCAACAGCTAGGAGAACAAATATGAGTACGATTATTCAGTAAGAAATCATTCACGAACCTTGACCAAGGAGGCCCTGGATTATGTACGTGAAGGGAGAGGCCCTGTACATCCATTTCCACCAATTCAGCTCGAAGAACGGCTGAACGACGCCATCACTGGTGGATTATTAGCATGAACTGGCGTGGCTCAAAGTATGTCTCACAAGATCAGCATAAAGATAACGAGAGTTGTGAAGTATATGGATGCAACTGGAGCGGTTGGTGCCATGGATGCGATACCATGTCCAAGCGTGGTATAGTAGAACGGGAAGGCGATGGCGAGGGTGAGGAACGTGTAAGCCGCCCGGTCTGTGGGGTATCCAACGGTCCAGTACCAGCACAAAAAGAATATCGCTGAACTTGTGATGTTCCAAGGCAGCTCAGCGACAAGCTGGGACATGACGAGAGCAGTCCACTTATACATTCTAGTGGGACGTTCGCGTATCTCGTACACTGTGCGAATGTCGATGTAGACAGCCATCAGCTGATGGACGAGGGGAACACAGAGCACAAGGGAGAGGAAGACTGACTAAAGAAGAGTAAGGATGTGATGAAACGAAGAATCTGAATTGATATACTTACGAATAGCTTATTCTGGGTGCCTTGCAACGAGTCATTTGCCTGAAAGAATGTAAAGCCCACAAGAAGACCACCAGCGATATTAAGGATAAACTTGGCGCGAATATACGTAGGATTGCGCCAGTATGCTTGGAAATTCCTGTGGGTGAGCATAACGAACTGGTGCAACCATGAGGTAGTGAAGACTGAGTGCTGTCTGCCAAGCTTCTGTGGGTGAGAACGGCCCTGTTGATGTAAGTCGTCGATATGGTCTTGAAGCTGAGCCGCTTCTGGTGAGCACTTCCAGACATTGTACCAATCAGTGGTAGAGACTGCAGTTGCTCCAGCACCTATTACATCAAGCATGTATTCCGCCCTTCAACTCCCTGATAAGCGCAAGATCCATATGATTGAACCTTACTTACGGATTGTCGTCGGAGCCGCAGCGTGGAGCACCATTACGCTCAAAGTAATTTAGCATGGTCGACGAGTTCTCGCCAATGTCGCCAAAGTAGACCGTCTGTCCACCCTTGCGAAGGAGCAGCAATCTGTCAAAGACCTGGAAGAGCTCCGCTGAAGGTTGATGGATTCTAGTACAGCTCATGAACATTGAAAATCGACATGTCAAAATGACACTCACGTGCAGAGAATGGCCTGACCACGGTCAGCAAGTTCACGAAGTACATTTACGATGGCCCAGGCAGATTGCGAGTCAAGGCCAGATGTAGGCTCATCCAAGAAGAGTAGAAGTTTGGGCTATGAATCTCTCAGCACAACTATAACTTGAAGGGTTTGCGTTCAAACCTTGGCAGCGAGCTCCACTGCAATGGTGGTGCGTTTACGGTGCTGAACCCCAAGAGTGCCAACAATAGCATCAGCATACTCCTCTAGACCACACATTTGAAGGCACTTGTCAACGCTGCAGTGGACAGTTAGGTGGGATCTAATCATGACAGGAATCGTACGTACTATGCTTCTTTCTCAGCGAGAGGAACTGATTGTGGCTGGCGAAGATTAGCAGAGAAAAGGAGCGCTTCACGGACAGTCGCCTCGGGAAGGTGGGTGTCGAGTTGTTGGCAGTAGCCACTAAACATGACAGTCAGATAAAATTTGAGAAACTAGGACGATACTTGCGTCTGAGCTTGGAAGTCTATGGGGAGCGGCTGCCCGCCAAAGAATCGTTCACCAGTTACCAAACCAATACCGACACGTTGTGCAAGGACATTCAAAAGCGTTGTCTGCAAGCATTCGAGTAAATGGAATGCGCGACTGGTATAATTGGAAGGTATACCTTGCCAGCCCCAGATTCACCCATTAATGCAGTGAGCTTTCCAGGAGCAACAAAGCCCGTGACATCATCGAGAAGACGTTTCATCCCTCCTTCAATGGGGATGTCATATTGCACGTGCTGCCACGTGAAGAGGTCCTTCACCTCCTCAAGATTGACGGAAGTCGAGGGATTTGCTACTCCGGAGAGGGGTTTAGAAAGAAACTCTTCATCACCCTTTTCCTCGTCAAAGACCTTAGAATCCCCATCGACAGCACAAGTTCCTTGCTTGAAGAGAACGACAGCACTGTCTGCAGTAGACAGAGTATTGAATTCTGTGGCAATTAGGAAGATGGCCAAGAACCCAAGGTAGAAGGCGCAAAGGACACCAAAATTCTGCGGTGGTGTCATGAGCCATTCGCGAAGTATAGAATGACCGCCTACCCTCCAAAGTTGACTATGCCAAATGTCAAACGTCAATGCAATATATATGTTGCCATTAACGAGAAGCTGTCCGGGACTGCGACCCAACAGTCGTGCAGACCTGGTTTGCAAGTGAAACATTCTCGTACCCCGGGCCCTGTGGGACAAGAGTGGAGCAAACTGCGTCGATTGTATGAAACTCGTTCACAAGAAGTCCACCGAGCGACCACCACAATGGCTAAGACATATTGAGCGGAAGAAAGTATCGTACAAGGGAAGACGTACATTCAACCACATGATCCACCTTAAGCCCTTTGGAGCAGTTGGCCAAGGAATTGTGTAGCCACCATAGAGCGATATTAAGAGAATGAAGATACCACTAACAGCTAGTGCGCTAGGACGAGTTTTAAAACTTGTAGCAATAGCTCTGAAGAATGATTTCATGGTTTGTGACATTAAGAAGATGAAAAGGTAAAAAGTGCTGTTGTGCAGCAGGGTGAGTATCAAAGCCAACAACAAACGGTTGGAAGAACTTACAAAAACTGCGAAGCAGAACGTTGCAACCCGACCAGGAAGTAGAGTATTACAGCGAACACAAGTTGGACGATCAAAGTGACCGGAATATCGACTATAGTGTGCGCGAGACTCTGAATAAAAGGGTAATATAACGCGGCTTTCTGGTGACGAAGCACGATCGGACGCTGGAAAAAAAGAGCTGGAACTTCTGAAACAGACGTGATAGCACTGAAGAAGAGGGAGCTGAAAGAGGTGTGAGGCTCAACTTATATGAGGACAGGGGAAGATAGTTACAAGAACAGAACACCTCCACGAGAGAAGTAGGCCGAGGTGTCATTTGGAGTGTCCAGAAAAACGGTGCCCATGATTATCGCTTGAAAGATTTGGGAACTGTCACTCATATGTTACTGAAGGTTGGTCAAACAAAGAATGCCACCTACGCCAGTCGCATAAAGAACTCGAACTTATCGCCAATAATGATTTGCACGCTGCGCTTCATGACCACTTTGACTTGCTGGAAAGTAGAGGTCATATACGCGCTAGATGTGTTGCCATGTTCAGCGGCCACGCTGGCCAGATATGCCTGCTTGTGTTCGTGATTGCCAACCCATTGCTCCCGGCGCCGTTCAATGGCTTCCTGATTCTGACGACCAAGGTCAGAAGCCATGAAAAAGCTAGCAAGTTCCTCTGCCGTTCGCGGAACAGAGCTCTCGTATCCAGGGCGGATCTTCCTCCCGTGCGGGTCCGTGACTGATAATGACCATTATAAGACAACATAAGACGGACATGAAGCCCTCCCTACCTGCAACTAAGAAATCGGGGGTAGTCTGTCTGTTTTGCGGTTCGAAGCCCATACCAATAAAGTAATCTTTCGCCGACTTTGCTGGACCAAAATAGGCCATCTTCCCTTCCGCGATAACACAAATCTTATCAAACAGATCGTATAATGGCTCGCCCGCCTGGTAGAGGGAGACAATCGTCGTTGTACGCCTGGCATCTGTGATACAACGCAAGGCGCGGACAAACTCAAGGGCAGTCGAGGAGTCTAGTCCACGAGTAGAACTGAATGAGGAAAAGTTAGAAGCATGGCACCACCTTAGATGACAACACCGTACTTATCCCATGCACCAAGTGAGCCTGCAGAGCCTAAAGTTTCTGCGATAGAAATTCGCTTTCTCTCCCCACCGGAAACACCTTGAATCTGAGCATTACCAACTAGCGTGTGTTTCGAACGATAGAGACCAAGAACTTTCATAAGCATCGTGGTGGTATCCTCAACGTAGTCCTCGCGTGTCTGGTTGGAAAGACGGGTTGCAGGAGTACGGTTTCTAACAGCGAAAGAGAGCGTCTGATCGACGGTCAGCGTCGGGAAGTGGATATCGTCCTCCGGACAGTAAGTAATATCGCCGCGGAAGGAGTCATACATCTCCTCTGAGGTGAACGAATCATAGAAGATCTGACCCTCAACAGCATGATACTCCCCACGTTGGTTAGCAATTGTCTTGAGGAAGGTCGAGCACCCTGCGCCGGGACGGCCAAGGACCACTGTACAGAAGGTCAAGACCGGATGCCGACGAAAAGCCTGTACTTACGCAGCATTTCGCCAGGAGTGACCACACCCTCGAATCCAGACAAAATATTTCTAATGGAAGGATGGCGAATTTCCCTTATCTTGGCCAGAAGCGTTGAGGGATGGAAAAGTGAGCCCGCCGTGGGCTGGAGCGAGGTGCGAGAACCCGCACCAACGACACGCAGATCCTTAAACATGACACCAAGCTGACGGTCCTTTATTCCTTCATCTTGACGGCTGAGGGAGAGAAAATATTAGACGACCAAATCAAACCACCATAAAACACTTGCTGTTTCATGAGGTCTCTGAGTGCCTGCTTAAAGTCATAGGATTGTTCATTCTTTCCGGACGAGGATATGCTTGACGAATTCTCAATGAATGAAGAAGCAGATGTTGGCAAGTCCGACTCTAAAGGAAGAATTGGAGTGGGAGCCAGGCTAGCTGTGGGGTCGACCAGTCCACCGGCCTCGTGGAGGGCCATGATAAGACCGTACCGAGGAACCGTAGGTAGAAACAACTTCAAGGGGGATTATTAAAACGATGAAAAGGTTACGGAATATATGGGGTGAAGTTGCTCGGTTCGGCATAATGACCTAAAAAAAGCAAGCTTGATCAGAAGTTTTATATAGCACACTATCTGCTACTGCCTGCGGCCAGTTACATACTTGTTGCCACAAAAGCGTCAAACCGGGCAACTGGGAATACGTGGAGCGCGCGAGGATAGCGGCGGTTGGATCAAGGTCCCGATCATTCCGACGGGGCCAATTGTGCACTTGAGGCTAATGACTCTTCAGCAATCCGTTAATATTGCCGTGGGACGATATGAGTTGCCTTTGCGCCAGAACGTTGAACCTGCAAGGACCAAGTGGTCAACTCGCACCATGCCATGTGACACTCCTAGTACGGGTTAGTTCATCCTCATCCTCGGGCCTGTACGGTTTCCCTACCAATCTCGCCTCCGGAGCGGATAAGTTAGTATGCGAGCAAGCCAAGTGGCAGGGAAAATGATCATGGTAAGTTGCAAACCCGTTGGCCCACGGATTTTCCCCGACGGATGCGGCTGAGCTAGTCATTTTTGGTATTTGAAAACTTGATCGAGGACATTTTGTTTCACAGCCTAGGGTTCGGCCTTTGCCGGCTTTCACTTCACCCTGTAGCATGCTCGGTAGCTTGTTCGTGAGGCGAGTTAACACCATATACTTAGACTCATTTGATACAGCGAGTGAGAAATCTGGGTGTGTACAACTAGACCTTAGTAGTACAGTTGGGGTATTTTGCCCTTGTTCCATCCGAACAGCATCGTAAAAAGGGGGACCCTGTTTATACAGCCTCACGTACAAGAGAAGCGGTAAAATGAAAAAAATGCCGGTCTATCCGACTCTATCGACATGAAAATAGTTGTGACGTACTGTGGCGGTATAGGTAGCTATCTTTAGTATACAAACCACAATACCACGGACTCATGAATTCACAGCTGCCAGTTGTGCCATAGACTACCGTGTCCCAGTTATTACTACTCATCCTCCGAGTGTGATATACAAGTGTTTGCTAGTGAGAACAGCATGTGCACCTGGTACGATGACTATAGTCTGCGTGTTATCAATGATCATTGCAGGACCCGTGACTTCATCGCCCACGCCTAGGCTATCCAGGAGGAACACAGGAGTATCGGCCACTCGGCCAACTTTATCGAAGTACACGCTATACGTTGAGTCTGCTCGACCACGTGTGACAGGATGCTTCTCAAGCTGTTCTATCTCCGAATAGACGGACTCCCCGAGGTGGTCGAAGGTCTTCCCGATGCCACGAACCTGCGGGCATGATCACCTGGTACCTTTACTTAAGTCACTTGGAATAGCACTCACCTTCACGTCATCTACGATAATGCTTTTGGTATCAAGCAAGAAACCAAACTCTGCCTTGTACACGCGCCTGAACGCTGCCTCAAAGTCCTCGGTACCATCACCGTCATTCTCATTAGGGAGAACCATGAGGGCAGTGTCAGTGCCCTCAAACCGCATGTTCAACATTCGCTCAACCTTCACCCGGTCACCTTCAAACCCCTGGTGTTTGAGCTCGGCCTTGACGTCATTGGTAAGCTTATCAAGACGGACGATCAGGTTCCGGCGTGTCTGCGCAGAGTAGAACGCTGATGAGGGCTCTTGAAGTTCGTATGCGCTGTCGATCTCAGTTCAGAAATAACATCATTAGCACCGCGGGATAGGCACTTGCCGGTCTGCTAAAGCCAATCCATATGCAGACAAAATGGAGCTGTATCGATGGATGAGGATGGTCTTTATGCCAAGCAAACTTGCAATCTCGCAGGCGTGTTGACCACCAGCACCACCGAAGCTTGCCAATCTGAGAACAAGTATATGAAAGGAGAAATGCGAGATAGACACCATACGCACACGTGTTTTCCAGTCGAGTATCCTCGTGCCTCCGTTAGTGCACGGATGGGTCTACACATCGTCTCGTTGGCGACTTTGATAAACCTAACCTCGAGTATGAGTGTATATCACCATGAATAACTGTGCTGTACCAACCCGTATACAATCTCATCCAAATCAAGGTTTATTTCATGACGTTCGTTGATCTCCTTAGCGACCTTCTCAAAGGCCACGCGTGATGCTTCTGAGTCTAGAGGCTCCTTCTCTGATTGTCCGAATATTTTAGGGAAATAATCTGGGATGAGGCGGCCTAGAAGCAAGTTGGCGTCTGTGACCGCCAGCGGACCGCCTTTCCTGAATACAAGTTTAATTAAATTCTTTCGCCTTCAGTCTGCACTTACCTGTAACAGGCAGGACCTGGTTGTGCACCAGCGCTTTCGGGTCCTGCGAGAAACAAGCCGTTTCGGAAGGTCAAGCAAGAACCACCACCAGCTGCGACAGTGTTGATGTCCAACTGTGGAGACTGAATAGTGACTCCGGCAGTTGTCGTCTCGTAAACCACTTCGTAGCGGCCGTCAAAGCGAGATACATCAGTTGATGTCCCACCTACATCAAGGCTGCAGAACAAGAGCATAAGTCAGGCCGAGAGTACTGAATAAAGCATAGAATATACCCAATGATAGGATATTTCCTGTCTGCGTCCCAGCTCGTCAAGTGCATACCCCACGACGCCTCCCGCTGGGCCACTTAGAATACTCTTCAACCCAGAGAAGTTATTGAGGTCTAAAAGTCCCCCGTCGCTACCCATGAATTCCACACGAGGACTCTTTATCCGTCCGTCCTTCAACTTTGCGTCGAAACCGTGAAAGAATCCGTCTAGATACTCTCGCAAGATAGGGGTGAGATATGCATCCGCTGTGGACGATACACCGCGAGGGACCATCTTGATCATGGGCAGCAACTGCGAGGATTCCGAGATCTGCGTGAACCCAACCTCTCGTGCAAGCTTGCCGATCTGTATTTCATGCTCGGGGAAAGTATAAGAATGAACAAGGACGATCGCAAGAGAGCGATATCCAGTGTCGTACAATCGTTGTAGGTCGTGTCTCACAAGGTCCAAGTCTGATAAGTCGAATCAACAAACGTAATGCCATAAATGCTGTAAAACGTGTACCTGGTCTCTTCAGGATCCTCACTGCTTCTCCTGAGATCCCTCGAACAATATCTCCTGGACCTTCAGCATTACCCTCCCCATCCCATCCAGGACCCCTATAGCCTCTTTGAATGGACGACCCATCATCATCCCACCGAATAGCGTTCTCCTCTGACTTAGGATCCGATGTGTACCCAACAAGAGTTACACGCTCGTCAACCTCAATGACTTCAGAGTACAAAGGACTCGGGCGGCGAATGTTCAAGTCGAAGATACGTGGACGTGACTGATTCCCGATGAGCAGAAGGTCCTTGAATCCCTTCGTAATAAGCAACGCATGACGATGTCCCTTGCGCTCCAGCAGCGCATTTGTCGCCACTGTTGTCGACAAACGAATGTAATCTGGACGCAGAACGTTGTCAGAATAAGTGAACTTGAACGTGTCATCCTAGTACGGACCAATCTTGCTAGTGTCAAGCACAGACCCACGGGGAATCGTCTCTCCCGTTACGATTTCAAGCACCCTGCGGATACCCTCCGTTGGTGCGTCGCTGTAGTTGGCTGTGTCCTGTGACACTGCAGGACAATTAAGCAGGCAGTAAGAGAATATGCACCAGAAAACACGCACAAAGTTTGACAATGATGTCTTTCCGCTCGTTTGGATTGCCTGGGTCAGGATACGATCTGTTCTATCTTAGCTTGAAAGACAATCAAGAACTTTGACTTGGCCTTACGCATGAACATCACAAAACGTCCCTCCTCTGTCTGCGCAGATGCGAATGGATCTATCGGGAACCTCAATCATGCTCATAGAAAGAACCAGAATCACAGCGATAGCTAATGGGTGGAAATGATCCTTTGAAACATCAGAGCAGTAGCTAATAACTAGTCTTAATCTAGTGACCGAGGTCAGGTGAATTGCCACTTCGCGGATCTGGATTCCGGAGGGCCGCTGGCCCGCAGTCACATATTGCACAAGTAATCGTCATAAATCAAATAAATTCCACTATAAAACAGGTCAAACGAGGGGACAACATAGGGAGAGGGGTAGGGCTACGACTATATAGACAAACCCTGGAATATTAGCATGCGCTAGCAGAAGGTCAGGAATGTGGGGGACAATTTTAAAAGAATGGTGTGTATGTATGCCGTTGAATAGAGAAATAATCCAGAGTCCAGTCGACCAGTTTCGAGACACGGTATTGCAACGCTTCGAGGAGATTCGAAATCTAGGGGACAGTGGGGTATTTAGAATAGGATGTTGGTGGTGTTGGGGATCAAGACTGGTATGAATGGCTCATATACACGTAGGTGTTCAAATACACATGATAGAAAGACGAGTTGCATGGTGCATTCCTCGGTGAATTGGATCAACGATGGTGATGGCGAAGGGAAGAAAGGCCTGCATGGGTGATCAAGGAAGTGAGGGCTGCAATCACTCACTCCTCCTCTTCCTCCTCCATCACATTATGTAACGGTGCACCATGCACATACCTAGCGGGACTATCCCGCCCGTTCCCATTATACAACAAACCTAGGGGCTGTAGAAGTTCCTCACCCTGCGAGCCTTCTGTGTGTGTGGGCTCCTCAATAACATCCTCCGCTGGGGTCACTACAACAGGCTCCAGCTCAACCACAGGCACGGGTGGTAACGGCGACTCCTTCGTCTGAGGAGACAGTAAAGTCGAATGCACGGGGAGCTTTGGTACCGGCACGGGACTAGTCGTGAACGACTTCTTCTCGCGCTCGCGGTACATTTCAATCAGCGCAGCCGTCCGGCTCTTGTCTCTGTCCTTTTCTCCCTTCTCCGGCGTCACGGGTGTCACAGCTATAAGCTGCGGCATAGTCATAATTCCCGTCCCCGAATATTTGCTATCTTTATCCTTGGCTACGCGGTGGTCTTCGTACATCAAGTCTGACGCATCGAGCTGGAGGGAGTGCGTGGAAGTGGGTGCATAGTCGCTTTCTTCGGTGTCCATTGAGCCTCGCAGGGGCTGGGGGTAAGCACTATCGGTATTTGAAGGCATGGGAAACTCCAACGGCGAGGGTCTGTCGGGGCTTCCATAGCGTACATCATCTCCATCTGAGTCATCGCCCAAGCTTATTGGTTGCGGCGAATGTCCAGGCCTGCGTTCTGGATGCAAATCAAAGTACCCCAAGCGTTTCGGCACACTGCAGGTTGTCGTCTTTGGATACGACATTACACTGTCCACATCCACATCCACATCTTCACTTGTTATGCTTGGCGCCACGGTGGGTATCGGCTCAGGCTCGTCATCGCTTGATGGTAACTGCGCTAGAGCCACGCCTGCGAGTACTTGTGCAACCTCGTGGCTCGCAATCTCCGGGTCTTGCATGCCCTTCCCGCGTGCGCTGAACGGACGAATATCCGCATCCTGCCCACCAATCCGCCGGCTGTGTGTCGCGACCAGGATATCCACCCACGCATCGTCCTTTGAGCGCCTTCTCTCATCCCTCTCTCTCCCTCCTGCAGATGAAGATGTCATGTTATTCAGTTCATCATCTGAGTAGCTCGCCAGCCTCGTTTCAAAATCTACTGTGGCCTCTGCATATTCAGCAGGGACGACCCCTGAGCGGCGAAAACTGGGGTGGACGCGAAAGCGCGAGGCGAGCTTACGTGCAGATGTCGGGGAAATGGGCGAGTCGGAGGCTCTGCGCTCGATCTTTGAGTCTCTGTCCTTGTCTTTTGCGGGCAGCGCTGGCGGCTTGTCGTTGTCTTTTAGCCGAGTATAGAGCGGTGCAGAGATAGCCACAGTCGGTCGAGTGGGAAGAGCTGAGTGTGTGGTGGAGGGTTGTTCGTCTGAAGTTATGGGAGAAAGGGCTCCTGTTGTACCGGACAACATCGGACCCCCGCTGGGCTTGTCTAGTGAAAGAACCTTACTCCCGTTCGATCTCAGCAGTCCCTCAAATTCGACTTCACGATATGACGGACTCTTAGGGACGTGCCCGACAACGTAAGGACGTCCATTGAGTGTAGCAGCGGGTTTCCATGGGCGAGACTTGCCTGTTCATGCAGGAAAATTAGTTGTGATTGGTAAGAGGCCGGGTGGAATGAAAGGGAGGGGAAGGTACATGTCATCAGGAAATTATCAAGGGGAAGAAATGTTGAAATAAAACAGCTACTCACTGTTAGGGGACATGAACAGAAACGGCATTCTTCGCTTCCCGCCACTGTCCTTGGCAAGCTGCTGGCGGTACTCCAAGGGCACAAACTCCTCAAACAAGACGAGCGTTGTACTTGTTCTTGGGTCAGTGCCACTACTAGGCGTGGGAAATGGAGAGGATGTGGATGCAGATATCGGAAGAGACTTGAATTCAATCTAAGAGCCACGTCAGCACAAGGGAAAGTAAAAGATGATATAAAGGAGAAAAACACCCACCAATGCCCAGTTACACTCCCTCTCGACCTCTGCTGCAGGTCCCTCTGCACTCAAGATCCCGCCAATTTCCTCCCGCCAACCCCCTCCCCAAACCAAATCGCAAAATACGTCCACAAACGCCTCTTCTACCACTTCTTCCGTGCCGAGGACAGGTTCTGTATCCCAACCAAAATCAGGCAAGGTCCTGGCGGTCTTCTTGAGCTTTTTGGTAAGGTCGGCATTGTGCGAGGGCCACGCAGAGATTGTGTGAGTGAGAGGCGTGCTAAATTGGAGGGTAGCACTTAAAGGTGCATCTGTGCGTGTAAAACCAGTTGTAGAGAAGTCGGTCCACGTGAGAGTAGCACGTTTCGCAGCACGGGCCTATATGCCGACAGAAGGATAGTAAGCATCTGTGAAAACCTAGTATGAATGTTGCACGTACCGTGCGCGCGCTTTCCGTCAGATCAAACTGCAATTTCTTCTCATCCGTAGCGATCGCCCCGAATCCCATCATCTCAAACTCACCCCACTTCAAATCTGTAAGGCTCCTAAACCTCTCTTCGCCCTCCCGTAGTCCCAGGCCCGTCACAGCATCCCTGTCATCAGATAGAGAAGACGACGTGCTGCTGGTCGCAGATGCCGGAGCAATGCTGGGACCAGTGTACGGGTGTACATGTGACGGTAGGTCCATACGCTTCTTGTATGCTTCTGAGTATCTCGGGGACAGCTTGAGTGAAGGCGGGGCAATCCTTTCCCACTCCTTTGATCCCGCTAGGCCATGCCCATGTGGCCGATGTGCCCAGCTTGCAGCCGTGTTTACTAAGTCCGGGCTATACATCCGTACATTACGCCTTACGCTTACGACACGCACCGTACGTGCACCCCTGCGTGCTTGTGGGCGTTCATGCTTGGCTGAGTGGTGCAAGGCGGGGAGGGTGGAGGGATATGAGCGGATCCATTCTTTGAGCCGGGTAGGAACACCGAGGTCAGATGTAGATTGCCAACGGATAAAGGAGAGAAGGAGATGTTCGGTGGCATTAACGGCGCGGAGGTAGTGGATATAGGTGTGGTGGAATGCAAGAGTGGCGGGACCGAGGCCGAATAGCAAGGGTCCGAATAAGGGGGAGATAGTTGGAGGTGTGTGTCCAGAGCTGGTGCTGTGCGCTGTGAACCGAATAAGCAGGCTTAACAGAGTGAGCAGAATCGAGCGCAGAGTCGAGGGAAGAGGTGGAAGGAAGGCAGAGAAGTGTTTCGGAGGATAGTTCTGTACTAAAGTAAAGTTAGTTTAATATAAAATGAGCGCCAATAGATGAAGTGAGCGTTTGATTGCAATGCACAGCCGAGAATCGTCAAGAATGAGGGTGAAATGGAAGAAGACAGAGAAGACGCTCACTTGCTTCAGAGTCTCGGAACTCTGTATAATGGTCCCAAGCAATGAGGCCTCTCACCGCCTGTCCACCAACAACTCTGACAACTCTGGCAAGTCCCCATCGTATACACATGCCAAGCTCGTGCGGACCTGCAAGTCTGGCCTCCTCTCTCCAACGGTGTTCCGCATCGATTCCGCCCGTACATGTTTCCAGAAATGCTCTGATAAGCCCCCTAACAGAACTTGCCGAGACATCAAGTGCCAGAGTCGAAAAAATAAATGGAGTGGTCAGTGCTCTGGTGCCTAACTCGCTGGCCACAACGTCCACGAGGCGTACGACTTCATCAAGACCCAGTACAACGTGCCGCTGATAAGACAAGTATCCGTAGTCATGCGCTTGCTGCTCGTGGTCAATATCTTTGGGTTCCAAATTCAAAGGGAGAAAGGACCCATCAGGAATGTGAGCGAATGGTTCTGTCTCAGGAGTGCTGAGGGTTCGGTTTCGTTGTTTCTGTTTCATAAGCGTACTGGGAGGAGTACGCTTGCTGCTAGTGACATCTTTGGCGGAATTTCTACTATTTACGCGCCCAAACTCATCATAAGGTAGGTCTTGATTGCCACTCGGGTGCTTCTTGCCTGTTGTCGAAGTAGTGCGGGTCCGCGAGAATAAACTGGGCATCGAGAGCCGACGATTCCTGTTTTTGCGGACTGCTGGTAACGGTAATGTGTTGCGTTGCTCGGTTAAAGAGAAACTTTAAAAACGAGTGCGATCCAGTAGAATTATCTGGAAACCGTCCTGGTGCAGTCCACTTTAAAACAGTATCGACGTTCTATGTCCCTGGAGATGTTGAGGTGGACGGCGGCGCACAATGGAAATTTTGTGAGCTCGAGCCACTTGACGACGAGGATGATGATTGAGAAGGACACGGCAACGGACTCAAACAAGCACCGGGATTTCTGCGGTAATTTCTCAGGATCGAGTTTCATGCTGATAGCCGTACTGCTCTCTTGTTGCTTTCATGCATGTTCAAATTCCAAAGCCTGGAAATATGTCTTGCTCGTCATTGAAGACACTCAACGATCTCTCTCTAAAGTTCATGTCATTTTTTGCATGTAAGTACGTATACAGTCACCGATTACGATTGAATCAACACGCTCAAGTTATCAAAGACTGAAATCTTCAATGACGCTCAAGTTCATTACCAAATATCAGCGTGCGGCTATATGGCTTCTCTTCAAAATTCTTTCGACGATGAGCTGGGGTACGTGCAAATTTAAAGAGCTTCCAAGGAATCTCACGCTTTCGTCTACGTGGGATCACGTTGCTCATCACGTTGGTCGAACACGATCTTGTCCCGTTCTGTTCTCATCGTTCCCGTACTTAAGTCATCATAGGTCATAGATGACCTTACAGCATGACACATTATTGTCCTGCCTTGTCACGTATGTACTGATCAGACATTCTAGTGGAGCGCTTGCCACTTAATATTGTCAGTTAAGCTTCCGATTTGGTTTTGAATACACGCTGCCATGTGAACTCCTAGCAAGGCCTATTTTCTATGTGTTGGAAAAAAAATCCACTTGCGGCTTGCCTCCGCGCGAAATCAGAAACGCCACTCCCGGAATCCAGTACGTGAAACCATCATCGCATACATACGACCATTCCTAATCCACCAGGCAGGCCGTATCATCTGCTCGTACATATATATATACTAAATCTGCATCAAACAACCAATTGCATGTCCCTACCGATCTGGCCGCGGTCGTATGCCCTTCGTAAGCCAAAATTGCATGTTTCACTTGTCCCGAAAATCTTATCTTGATCTCTTAGGATTGATGACATTTACATAAGGTACGGTTTGATTTCCAAGAGGTAACCATAAATGGTCCAATCGCTGAAATGGGCCAATTTTTGTTTATTGTCTGGGGCTATGAACTCTGTGGGTAGCGCTCCCTGTTGTTTGTCACACGTGCGCGCGTAGTCCTGGTAATGTTTAGCGCCTTAGACTTCGTTTTAGTACTGACTTCTCCATGTACAAGAGGCGCTCGTACTAGAATTTCCGTTCCCATGGGATTGAAATACACTGCAAGTGTTCCAGAGTCCGTGTTTCGAATTCACCGTCGCACATCTCTTGATCTTGGCTACCGTATATTACCACCCTTCGAGGCCTCGGTTTGAGCGGTGCCGGTGATCCGCGGTGGATTTGCATAGACAGGTTGTGTGTGCATTGACACAAGCTCGGCAACCCGGGGACATGGCCTATCGACGTGATTTGATATACACGACAACTTATCGTTCTGGCAGGTACTTGTCTTAGATATCCCATACCGAACAGTGTCGACTGTCTGACCAATAGCTGAACGTCAAACCCTAGATCAAAATCGCCATGATCCTAATATTTTGTAGCAAAAAGGACATATATTCCTCCTGCTTTTTTTGCATCGAAAATCCCACGCAAGCTTCATCTGTCCCTTCCGAACAAAGTCGAATTCTTATCCAGCAGAGAGACATGTGCAGTTCGGCATGCTAACCTAACCGTTCTCGAAACTTTACAGATACTTGAGTTCTCTTACAAGCAGGGCCGCCTGAATTTTACGTCCCATCTTGTTAACCAGAAGAAGATTATGCTATGTCAGGCTCGAGGAACTTGTTCACTCTGCTCAATTGAATTATGCTGTATCTGGTTACTAATCTATCTACCTGCATGTGACTTCGCGAAGCTTAAGCGCCCTTCGAATAACACATGACCAAATAACTAGGTTTGATATCAACGTTGACATCTCGACATCGAAGTTACTGGTGTGCTGCTAAGCACGGAGCCATCGACTCGGAATCAGATTTCCTGGGACGGTAGTTGCCGTATCTGACTAGTGAAAGGGTCTGAACATAATGAATCAAGTTTTGATTGCTTTCAACAAGTTGAACTAGCTAACGTTCTCGCTCGGCTCAGGATCGACAGGAAAATAAAAACCTCTACTAAAACAGTATGGGTCCGAGTCAAAAGAAGTCCAGCGAATTATCGCGAGTTCTACTTCGATTCCGTTCACGGCACGCAAGTATCAACTTTTACTAATCTATATTTCTGAAAACAGCTGTAAGCCGTTCCATTGCTCACGTAGGCGTATAAAATGAGTACGGCTGGTTGATGTTGTCCTCCATTCCAGTTTCCCCCCCTTACCACACACTCGTTACAAATGCCCTCCAAGGCAAGATCATTGCTCGAGCTCACTAGGCTTCACTGGTTTCCAGTGGGGTGTGACTTCATGTTCTGGCCCTTTGGTGAGTCAAAAGATGCATGGGGGACACTGCTCGTCGGCTGATTTTATTGTACCTAGCGTGGGGCTCGCTGGCGGCATCATACCATGTAGCATTACCTATGAAAGAAGTTGTCACGAACACTTTGTTCTATGCGCTGTTAGGCACGCTGGTACATAGTGCAGGCTGCGTCATAAATGACATGCTTGATCGCGAGTTTGATCGCAAAGTTGGTATGTCGATTCCATTCTGATCGTCACTAATCGCCTGACAACGTTCAATCAGAACGTTCAAAAAACCGACCTATCGCGTCGGGAGCTGTCACTATGCTAGAGGCCTCGGTTCTTCTGACCGTGCTCGTTGCTGCCATCTTTTACATGTTCTCAACTGCTGGCCCTACAGCGTGAGTACATTACCCAGAAAGTATCAAGACTTCTCTCACAAGCTAGTTTAGTTTGTTGCTCGGTCTTGTTGGACTCCCAGCTTGTGGCGGGACGTATCCGCTAATGAAGCGCTGGATGTATTGGCCGTCTTTGTACCTTGGTATGGCTTTCTTGCAATTAAAATTCGTGCACCGTCTTATTTAATTCCCAGGTTTTGCTGCTAGCTGGGCCGTCCCATTCACGTGGGTGGCAATCACGGGTGAGTTTGATTGGGGAATGATACTGAATGTCGGAGTCGCGTCGTGCTGGTAAGTGTGCCAGAAAGGTGTTTGTTTCTCCGAGGTGCTGACGGTGCCTCCCTAGCTGGACGTGTCTTTACGACACTATCTACGCGTGTCAGGTGACTAGCCTAAAATTTGGTTCTACACTGAAACGTCGGTGTTAATTACGTTATATCAGGACAAGAAGGACGACGAAAAGGCTGGAGTCAAGTCCATGGCAGTCCGTCTGGGCGATGGCATCCGTCCTGCATTGAGCGTATTTGATGTGACGTTCTTCGCATGTCTTCTATGGGCTGGGTATTTGAATGGCCAGCACCTACCGTTCTACGTGATGAGTGTCATTGCGCCCTTCCTCCTCTGTCTGTGGCACATATGGTCATTTGATCACAATGATCCCCGAGACAGCTGGAAGAAATTTACGGTACGTTGAAGTGATATAACTACGAGCTGATTCTGATATCCTATCATTGTACTACAGGCAGGTCGCCACGGCGCAGCGTTGGTGTGCGCAGGATTGGTCGTGGACCATTACTGTAATCTTGTGTCCCTGGCCATTTGAGCATGTACTTTCATCTCAGGCTGGATTAGAGGTGATGCCTTCAACCATCCTGTTACTGTACTTATCACAGCCTTGCAATTGCCTGTTTTTATCCTGGAGTATCGCTTTTGTTGTCTAACCTACAAACTAATAGACGAGTGACGCAGACATCGACGTACTTACTACAGTCTTTCGCTTTCATTTTTTTTATCCTGGAGTACTGTTTATATTTTTTGATACACAAACTAATAGACGAATGATGATGCAGACATCGCAAATAAGTGTGATAATCACATACAGAAGGCGGCCTTCATCAGCAAACTACTAATTTGGCGACACGCTAATAACAAGCGCACACAGATCCGCACAAGGTCCTACAAGGTCCACCTGCGGCCAACGAGAGTTCGAACATTCGCTGTTCGAGTATACCAAGGAGTCTGAATGTCATTGTCTCGTACGATATTACTAGGACTCACTGCTGCCGCGCCCACTACCGCATCCGTGCCGCAACACGCCCAACACGTCCTCTAAATTCGGCCTCTCAAAGTTATGTCCGAGAGGCGCATAGTTGATGAGTTCGACGAGTATTACTGCTAGGTCAATTATCTTGTGATTAGAGTAGTTGTCGGAAATATGTTTCGGGTGTGGTGCGGCAAGTTGCGGCAGTGACGCGGCAAAATACCAGAATGTCAGGGATTTGGCCAGTCTGGGACAAAGTACGGGAGAAAGTACACGGCCAATCGTCAAATTCGCACGTTGAATATTTGACGAAAAATAGTTTAAATGTATATGACACAGCCAGAACCTCGTACATAAATGGTACATTTACAACAAAGAATAAATTTATTTGACGATGATCCAAAGTCAAGTCACCATAAAAGATCTAGTTCAGGATATTTACCCGGCATGGAAACAAGCTAACTTCGTGTGCTGATTCAGTGTCTTTCCGAGCCTCGGAGTAAAGCATCGGCAAGACAACGACACCAACAAATGCATGGCAAAGAGAGCAAGATATAGGATTTATATATGAAAGGTGTATGTCATGTATGCGGTAAGTGTAGAATCTATAACGGCAGCCTTGCTTGTACAGCATATAGGATGCAAGATATAGATTTTACATATGACAGGTATAGGGTAGACAACATGACAAGTATAGGGCGCTATAGACATCATGTAGGCAGTATAGTCTAATTTCACGCTTTGCATTGCAAACCACGAGAGAAGTTGATCATGAAGTAGCTTGTCATTGAACATACAGACTGATTTAAAGACAAGACTAGTGATGTTCTGGCCCAGCTTGGCCCAAAAGCCGCAGCTTTGGCCTGGCTTCAGACGGCTCTGGCCTGCAAAAAATCCAAGCCGGGCCAAAGTCGCAAATGATGGCTGGCTTTGGCCCGGCTCTGGCCTGAGCCACGGCTTGAGTATAGGGAATTTGCTATTCTGACAAAGTGAGCATGAGCAGGTCGTTGTGAAAACAGGATTCAACCACATGACTCACCTGCTGATGAATTGCGGCAGTCAAGAGCGGCGGTGGAATGTCAGCGG